CCCCCACCACCTTTTCAAGGGACCATAAGTAATTGGACAGTTGAATCAAAAGCCATTTCATGGACAGATGTGGGCTATTCCTTTGTTATTTCTACATCAATTAAGCAGATAAAAGTTCTGGAGTTGATTCTAAGTGTGCCATTTGCATTTGGAAGCTATTGCTGTGAAACTTAAAAACAAAACAGGAACATTAGAAGTGGCCAAATCAACAGTTTGGTACATTCTGAGAAAAAAGAACGCATTGGTGAGCTCAGCAACATAAAAAGGCCAGAACGTCCATGGAGGACAACAGTGGTGTATGATCGGAGGATCCTCTCCATGGTAAAGAAAAATCCTTTCACAACATCCAGCCAAGAGAAGAACACTCTCCAGGAGTAAGGTGTGTCTCTGTCAAAGTCTACAATCAAGAGGAGACTTCACAAGAGCAAATACAGAGGCTTCACCACAAGGTCTGATTAGACTGGTCTAGATTAGACCTGATCAGACCACTTCTAGAAAAGCATTCTTTGGACGGCTGAAATTAAGATCAACCTGTACCAGAATGACGGGAAGAAAAAAGTATGGAGAAGGCTTGGTACAGCTCATGATCCAAAGCATATAACTTCATCTGTGAAACATGGTGGAGCAGTGTGATGGCATGAGCATGCGTGGCTTCCAGTGGCACTGGGTTACTGGTGTTTATTGATGACGTGACAGAAGACAGAAGCAGCCGGAAGAATTCTGAAGTGTATAGGGACATACTCTCTGCCCAGATTCAGTCAAATGAACTTTTTATTTATGATTATATTTATTTGTCCAATTACAGTTAAGCCCCTGAAAATGGAGGGACTGTGTATAAAAATGGTTCTTTCTTTCTTTTTTTTTTATATATGTGACCCTGGACCACAAAACTAGTCTTAAGTCGCTTCGGTATATTTTTTAGCAATAGCCCAAAAAAAACATTGTATGGTTCAAAATTATGGATTTTTCTTTTATGCCAAAAATCATTAGGATATTAAGTAAAGATCGCATACCGTAAATATATCAAAACTTAATTTTTGATTAGTAACATGTATTGCTAAGAACTTCATTTGGACATCTTTAAAGGCGATTTTCTCAATATTTTGATTGTTTTGCACGGTCAGATTCCAGATATTCAAATAGTTGTATCTCGGCCAAATATTGTCCTATCCTAACAAACCATACATCAATGGAAAGCTTATTTATTCAGATTTCATGTGATGTATAAATCTTAATAAATAAAAAAAACTGACTCTTATGACTGGTTTTGTGGTCCAGGATCACATATATATCTATGAGTGGTAGGTTTAGGGGTAGGGTTATTATGTCTGTGGGAAGCCCTTAAAAAACATGGAAACCTATGTGTGTGTATGTAATAACATGCACATATGAATTGTTCAAAGTAAGGCAAGGAACATGCATTAAAAAAACGTCAACTTTGATTGTTGATCATGTTGACTTATGAATAATTTCTACAGCTTCTACAGCTATAAGGCTTTACAAAGGCAGTGACATAAGATTGTTTCTTGGGAAATATAAAGTGTTCCCAGAAAGACATTTCTCATGCAGAGAATGTATGTTTTAGCAGGGTGATGATAGCTTTGGTTCATGTTACCTCGGGCGTAATCGCATCTTGTCTCAAAAGAGTCTGCTGCCTTTCTCACAGGACTCAGTTCAGGCACTTGTGCTGTTCCATTCTCAGCATGAGCTCATTTTGCCTCTGTTTTGCTCCACAGTCCCATGCAGTGGGAATCTGACAGAAAGGAGAGGTACCATCCTCTCCCCCGGGTTCCCGGAGCCTTATGGGAACAGCCTGAACTGTGTGTGGAAAATCATTGTTACCGAAGGAGCTGGTATCCAGGCAAGTACAAAAGAGCCACGTGTGAACTCATCAAATGCAGTAAAGTTACACCTGCTGAAATGATAAGATGGAAAAGATTCCTTTGCATGCAGCAAGGGAGTGAATTACACAGGTTAAATTTAGCATTGTATAATGTGCTTTGTTGTTCAAACTAACTGTTTGTTTTATGTAAAAGATCCAAAAGAGATTCCAAATGTAGAGCATGCCCATAAATGAAAGTTAAGTTAAATCAGAAAAATATTGATTGTGGCATTGTATGCATTGTTGCTCCCCAGGCTCATTGGAAATACGTACCTCTACCAACATTTCTGCAAAAACACATACCTATACGCAGTTTCCAGTTGGAAATATACACTAGAGGCAGTACAACTCTGACAACTTTTATTCCTTTTCACACAAAGTATGATTTACAGGATCAGAGTTTCAATTAAGAAAGCCTAATTTTGGCACAATTACTTGCAGAATATTATGTTATCACTTCAAAACAATTGTATCATGCTGCAGGATTTGAAAACTGATACTTTTGAACATTAGTTTCACATATACAGCTTCATACAATTTAGATTTTCGAACACAGTTTGCTCGGTAGCTCACATTAGCTCTGGTACGAATCCCGTGAAACTACAGTTCGAAAAAACAACATTTGTATGCATTTGTTAATACTATCATGTAGGTTTAGGGTTGGGTTTGGTGTAGGGTGTATTTCTAACACGATAGAACATTAACGTTTTAGTGACACTCCCCAGACATTTGAATTTTGAACTGCCACAATATGTACCTGAAGCAACGTAATAAAAATGCAGCAATATGTGCCTGTACCAACATAATAAAAAATATGAAGTGATGAAAAAATACATGCAAAGAAAGCAAAGTAATTACAAAAGAAAAAGACACAGATGAACAGTGCTTGGACATTTTTAGGTATTCTGACAGCTGTATAAGGTATCCAAGTAAACATTTAGAAAATTAAAAGAAACAAATCAAAATAAATTTTACTGTTGACCCCGCATTGAGGTATCAAACATGTGCAGTTCGAAAAAATACAATGTCAGAATGTTAGATGCTCGACAGCAGACACCCAATCCTATACCTCATATAACTGCTGTTTTATTAGGTATTTCAAGTGCCATTTCAGCATTTCAAGTGGTGCTCTGAACTACTGATACTATAGAAAGATTGACTTTTTTTTTCTCCAAACAATCTCCACAGTTCAAGCAGACTATCAATACTAATCAATCAATAAAAAACAAAACAATTCAGAAATAGTAATGACATTAGCATATCCATGAGCAGACATTGACAACATTTAAATATCAACACCTATCCACCTATGAAGTAATTTACATATTGATGTGTTTAAGGTACAGTAGCACAAAGGTTAGGTTCAGATAGGGGGTGAAGAATTGTTGCATAAAACAAAATGACTGTTTTTTATTAAAGAAACCTTGGCTACGTTTATAAGCAATACTGCAAAACTGTGGCCATTACATGAGTTAATTTTAATTGTGCAGAATTTTGTCATTTCATAATGTGGATCTCCATTTTCTTGGCAGATCCAAGTCATGAGCTTTGCCACCGAGCATAACTGGGACTCGTTAGAAATCTATGACGGTGGAGATATGGCAGCTCCAAAGCTCGGGAGCTTTTCAGGTTCGTATTGTCTTTATTAATCCCCTTTTAATTGCTTATTTCAATAATAGTCTGTTGGAGTGATTCGGCATCTGATTTACAGAAGTTCTCCTAAAGCTCATTTGCATATCATGTAGTTCTTTAGAGCTCATTACAGTTTCATATTGCAATAAAACTGAGAGCCAATCCCCGCCACTGGTTTTATGCCCCTGGATTCTTGGAAGTGCTGCAATTAGCTCCAGTCCTGGAAGGCTGTCCATGTGCCGTCCCTTACATAACAGATGAATGCCCTCATTTTACATTTGGTTGATTAACAGTATCAATTCTTACAGCCTTTTGGGTTCCAGTTGGAAAACCACCAGTCACATTTATTTCATCCCAATTCATTATCACAATGTTCTGGACCAAAAAGCTGAATGTTTCAAATTGAAAGATTAAATGTTACGAGTATTATGAATACTCGCCATCATTACCGCTTGCATTTTAATGTGTAGTTTAGCTTTCTTTTCTTTGTTTGTTTGTTTGATTATTTATTCAAGTAATTCGTTGTTGGCATGCAATACTTTTGGAAAGTTGATATCTGTAACATTATATTTATTTAAAGGGGTCATATGATGTTGCTAAAAAGAACATTATTTTGTGTATTTGGTGTAATGAAATGTGTTTATGTGGTTTAAGGTTAAAAAAACACATTATTTTCTACATACTGTACATCATGTTTTCTCCTCTATGCTCCTTTCTGAAACGCGTCGATTTTTACAAAGCTCATCGGTCTGAAAAGCGAGGTGTGCTCTGATTGGCCAGCTATCCAGTGCGTTGTGATTGGCTGAATACCTCAAGCGTGTGACGAAAATGTTACGCCCAAACAAAAACTGTCTCGTTTATAATGTTTGACCCATTATAAACGAGGCATTTGTTGCTTCCAGTGGGGACATAATTACGGATTATAATGACATATACTGTCTTTTTACGCATTGCGTTGCATCGCGCCACGTAAACATAAAACCATGTCTGCATTTGGGATCGGAGAAATGACAAACAAGTGCTACTCTACACTGCTCAAAACTCGCGTTTGAATCATCAGTGGCAAATCCTTTAAATATGAAAACTTACTAACAGTCTGTGAGTCAGAACAGCCGGCATTGTAGTCTACTCTACCAGGATCAGGAAACAGTCCTCCATAAAATACGTTGCACACTGAATATTTGGGTTGAACTGTTCTGAAACAGTGTTGTAAATACAACTTAACCACTGATTTCTAGTCGTGTCCTCTTTTGGAAGGCCAAACAAAGTAGTTTCGCTTTCACTTTCGCTTTCACAACGAAACATTTGGAAGGCCAAACAAAGTAGTTTCGCTTTCACAACGAAACACAGCATCTCCACAACATGGCGGCGACGGCAACAGCGAGAATAAAAGTTACGTCTTCTTTCTTTGTGTAAACATTTGGGCTGCATTATGCAAATCTTCCCACATTGTGACGTAGACATGTGGGGGCATGTTAGAACGAGCCGTTTTAGGTAGGCGTGGTTGACTCTTAACTTTTATAAAGAATATCTCTTTGGATTTGAGACTTTAGTCTTTGCAACTTTACAGATCTTCTTTATGCACCAAGAGCTTGTAACACTCCAAAGAGAAAGGAAAAATTTAAATCGCATCATATGACCCCTTTAATATAACTGAGAGGCTGTATATGTAAAAATTGCCAGCATTTAAAATTAACATTAAGGATGGTGATAAAAAATAGTGAAAAAAAGAACTAGTTACCAGTTACATGTCCTAAGATTTCCCTAAAACATTCATATAAATGTTAACCTAGAAACATGATATTGATAAAAAAAAAAAAAAAAAAACTCAAAGCCCAAAAAGGCACATTATGTACCAACTACCCAAACTGTTTTAACAACTATGCATTCAAATATACAAAGTATATAATGAGAATCAAAAACAGACTACATCAAGATATTCAAAAAAGGAAAAAATAAATGACATAAATAAAATTACATACAAAAAAGTCGCACAGCAGGATTAGGAAGAGGGGCAAGATCTTCCTTTGAGAGAGGAGGCTTAACCTTTTTGGGGACTCTCCCGGTAGACAGAACCGTGGCCAGGCCTCTAGCTACACTTTCAACACGGCTGTAATGAACTCTGCCACACTATCATGCTGGTGAAAGGTCATCCAGCCAGGGAGCTCCGTCTGCTCTAAGGCATGTGTTCAGTGGCACTTCACACTGTCTAGCACTCCTCACCTTCACCAAGCCATATTATCAAAAGCCGAGAAGCTCTTTACATGCTAAACCATCTTCACCCGTTCTCCCGAGACACCTGACGCCAGTCTATGATTGAATTTGATGATAAAACGGTAATTTCCCCTCATTTAGATCTCAATGGTCCAAATTATAGAAGCCCGGAGTCATTTGTGAGCATTGGTAAGACATGGCAGGGAATCAGGAGCCAGTGTCATTAGGCATGGTGTTTGGCTGCCCATTAAAATGCACTCTTCGCTCTCCTGTCGCCTGCGTGTTCGCCTTTTATATCCCCCGCACACTCACCCATCACAATCGGCCATTTCATTCTTCCTCTAGTCACAAATCCATTAGGATAATACCCTTAATTAAACTGTCAGATATGTTTTGTGTTTCTGTCTCCCCACACTTTTCATCATTCGGGATTAATTGCGGCTCAACAAATACCAATTTAATTACAACTGCATGCACTCTTTGTGTGTCTTTAAAATATATTACTGTCATTGTTTACCTAATTCTGACTGCACGTTATGATTCTGAAGAGGAAACATGCTCGAGATCAGACTATAATCACTATTTCCCCAAAAGAGGCTTTTTATTTCCCAAAAATTATGGTGCATCTCCAAGTGTTCAGCAATGTTCCCTGCCCCTTTCGGCCTCTCTATAGAATCATATACTTATCATATATACAATCATATACATACGTATATAAGCATAGATTTATAAGATTTTGTCATGTTTTTTTTTTCTCCACCTTTTATTTTGTAAGGAAGACTCTTATGCTCAGCATTTATTTAACTAAATAAACGTAATAATAAGAGCTTGATTAATAATTAATAATGTATTAATAATTAATATTAATAACCAATAATAATTAATAATAAGTTGGCACCAAATCAGCATGTTGAAATGATTCAGAAGAAAACTGAGCTTTGCATCACAGAAATAAATTACATTTTAAAACATATTACAATAGAGAGTAGTTATTTTAAATTGTAATAATATTGCACAATAATGCAGCTTTTCCTGTATTGTTAATCAAAAAAAATGTAGCCTTGGTGAGCATAAGAGACATATAAGAGCATAAGATATTTCAAAAACATTAAAGAATATGAATTTAATCTAAGCATTTGACTGTTAGTGTGTGTGTATATATATATATATATATATATATATATATATGGTAACACTTTATTTTAAGGACCAAATTTTAGCTATTAATTCGTTTCTTATTAGCATGCATATTACTAGCATATTGGCTATTTTATATAATCCCAAGCATATCTCCCACAGCTTCAGTTGCACATTGAAAATGAATGGACATGTGGTTGGACTCCAGTTCAAACGCTGCCTGTTCATCTCACTTTTACCCCACACATTTTTTTGTCTGCCTTCTGCTTGCAGTTTTTTTTTCCCATCTGTGCGGGAGCAACATCAGTGCTCAGCTTAGAAGGAATATCGGTCTGTAGTGGTTCAATCCAATCGTGGGCATGTATTTCACAAAGAATCCTTCTTCTCAAATCCCCTTAATCTGTGAGGATGCATCACTCCTTGTCCTATTTGCCATCCAATGTGATTCAGTACTGTAAATGTAACATATTCTGTCTGGCAAAGTCCATTTAAGCTCATCCGAGTCTCATCTGAGCGTTTTAAGATCCTCTCTAGATTGCCTTGTCCCTAATAGAGATGATAGACTGCTGAATAGCTGGACACTAGATGAGCTCTACGGAGCTGTCAAACTTCATCCACAAATTATTAGTCAAATCATTCAAGCGCAAAAGGAGCATTTTTCAGGCTTCGGTCATCAGTCTAATGTACTTGGACTTGGATCGACTGGAGTATTAGCAGTCAGAATGGCAGGATGTTTTAAATGCAAAAGATGCCGGGGAACCATTTCCTGGCAACTGCATGACACCATTTTGGGCATTTGTGTAAAGATATAAACAAGCCATGTATGAATAAATGCTACAGATGTGAGTTTGAAAGAAATCTTTCTTCTCAAACTAAACAGTTCTCTAAGCGCATGCCATGGCTATGTGGGTGTATTTAAGCATTCATCCCGAGTTGCTATGCGGCGGCATACTAAGGCACTGAATACTATAAACAGTATTTGTTGATTCTTTTTACAATCTTGTTTACTCCAAGCTTATTTACTTGTACACAGTATTTGAATTGTACCTTCATTCCCACAGGGAGATAAAAAAGAATATGGGTAAAAGCAAATGAGCTCAAAGGAGAAAAGAAGCTGGGAAGCCTGCAGGAACCTGAGATGTTGGATTCTGATGTGATGCATTGCAGAAATGTTCATTTTTATGCCAGAACTCAATTTCATGTATTACCGTAGTGTTGTGAGATGCAGCTGTCCAGTTTTTAACATTATAAACAGCCTGTAATGTTGCCCTAAGTGAGACGGTAAGACTTTGCAATAAGGTTTCATTTGTTAACATTAGTTAAATACATTAATTAACATGAACTAGCAATGAAAAATACTTCCAAAGAGTTATTAATCTTAGTTCATGTTAATTTCATCATTTACTACTCCATTATTAAAATCAAAAGTTGATAAAAATATTTGTATTTTATTAACATTAACACAGATTATAATTAAATAATGTAACAAATGTTTTGCTCATTGTTAGTTAATGTTAGTTAATGTGTTAATGGGAACTTATTGTAAAATGCTGCCAACATTTTTTATTTTTTTTAGCCTGAAGGCCTGTTCTAATTTGAAATGAATTTGTCACAAACATTAATGCAATATCCACATTGTCTGTTCAGATCAATCAGTGCGGAAAAAAATGGAATTAAAATGCAGATATACTCTGACAAATAGCTTAACCTACTTAACCAGTACCATCCAGATGTTTGTATTGCATGCCATTTATCAGAGAACACTAAACACAGGAACTGCTCACTATCCATCTTCACTGCCGGCCTTGTTGCGATTCTTTCCAAGCAGTATGCATTTTAAAATTTAACCTGGTGCAGTATTTTGGATCATAAACATGCACTGTGATTTTATTATTATTATTATTTTTTTCAAACTGAGGGCCGACTCAGTATTATTTGTGTGGTAATTGATATCAGGCCACATGTCAGTGGAGCACAACTTGTATTGAACCTAGAACATTTCTTTAACACATGTCTGCCCACATTTACTTATCAGTGCCTGTTCAGTGTTCAGCAACTTGGTAGGAATGTCTTAATGATACAGCCTGTTGAATTCTGTATGTTGAGGTAGAAAATAGTTAATTACAACTATTTTGGTGCTAAGAAACATTTTCAAAAATGATAAATGTCAAAAAAAGTGTAGGCTAAGAGTAATAAAATATGACATTATAGAAAATATGTTCCATATTAAAGTCAACATGAAATCAAAATTTCACATTTCTGGTCTTAATGTGAAATGATTGTAATATTAACTGTATAAAACTGTAAAAACAATTCTAAAGTAAAAACCTGTTAATTGGTGTTTCTTCATAGTTTCCACAAAATGTACAGGTTGTTCTATAAATGTGTTTTGAGTTTTGGATGAATTTTTACCGAACCCTATCTTTTTTTTTTATTTTTTTTTTACAGTGAACAATTTATCAGTTCACTCCTTGATCTGCCCTTCCAATTGCCTGACTCTATTCTAATACATAATGCCTGTTTTTCACAATCCAACCAATTCCATGGATAAAATCAAATCCCGGCCAACAGTTTTTCTCCCCCGTTTCACTCGAAAATCTGTCGCATTATGAATAGTCGCATTTCATGTTGACTTCAAGGATGTTATATAGTATTCATGACATTTTCTCCATGTATTAAATATGTCACACTCTGTATTGGTTATGTCCATATATGTATAAGCAGAAGGAAAGTCCTCTGCTTTGAATCCAGAGTGGCAGTAGCTGTTTTGCTTTTTAGTCTGATGATAAGTGACTCTTCCCTCTGAGCTGTGATGAAAGTTCCCCCCTGAGAGCTCAGAAGGATAGCGACACACTTCAATGACTAACGCCTGTCAAACATTTCCTTTTTGCCATCCCTTTTTACTTGACTCCCCTTTTCATTTGGCTGATGTCCAAACCGGGCAAGTCTTTCACAGGAGCAATACGTGATTAACAGCTGCTTATCTCCCTTTGCCCTTTTGTTCCTGCATGTGTGCACGCACTCATCATTTAGCTACTGTGTTGTGTGTGTGTGTGTCAGCGCTGGAATGAGAACACATTGTCCTTGTGTGTGATTACTCCAGCCCTTTTCCTGCTCATGCCCCTTTCTGGTGTTATCTTCCAGGTACAACAGCTCCAGCCTTGTTGAACAGCACCTCCAACCAGCTTTACCTGCACTTCCATACAGATATCAGTGTCGTCGCGGCTGGATTTCACCTTGAGTACAAAAGTGAGTATAGAACATGTCACTATGGTGCTTTCATTATCCCGAACCCTCGGCCCTTGGTAACAGTCCAGAGCAAGACTCGCCGCTACATTTCACCAGCAAACACACACACACATGGCAGGGACACGAACACACACGTACACACACTGAGCTGTATTTTTTTCTCCTTTCGCCGCTCTGCTGCCAGGTAAAGGCAGAAGACGGCGCACCCCAGCTTTCATTATTTGCTCGGCCGTGGCGTCTGTGTTTGGTGATACCAGCTCGAAGAAAATTGGAAAACAATGGGGATCCAGTTCAACCTTACATGGTTCATAAAAATCTTGAAAAAAATGTTCTAAGTATATTTTCAATCGTACATTTTTTGTTCAGTGTCATCTACAGTGGCCTAATAGGTAGCAAAGAAAAAATTGAACATGAACTGAAATGAATGTGTCAGATAAGGAGACATACAAAATGTAAAAAAAAAACACTAATGACTAATAAACATGACAAAAATGCACAACAAAATTGCTACAACTTTAAAATTAAAGTGAAAACAGAAAAATAAAGTCTCATTCAAATAGTAAGTTGGCAAAGGTGCAAATACTAAATCTTCTGGCATGATTAAAGTTTTTATTCCAATATTTTTCTTGTTAACTGAACAACAGGAGCGAGGGTTTTAAACATCAATAAAATGCGTAGACCCTTTTCTGTTCTCAGATAATACACTAAAGTATTAAATGGATTTTGCAGATGACGGTTATTACTTTTTTATGGATGGCTATTAATAATTACGTTTACAATTTAAAATTCAGAACTAAAATATAACTGAAAAAGTTCATCTATCTACAGTATTATGCATCTGTTAGATTTTATATTTACTATTTGAACACCCACAAATAAATGCATATTATTTATATTTTCTGAACCATTCTTGCAATGACTTTTAACCAGCTGCCAGTGATTTTTAATGGTTGTATGAAGTCAGTTCCCCTCAAGTTCACACAGGTGTAGCAGAGTGTCCACAGGATTAGTTCATTATGTAGCTACTTTCTATCAGTAAGGTAAACTTTGGTGTCCGTTACCATTCCTAAACCATTTTAAGCAATATTATTATTATTAATATTATTTATTTTTATTTTTTAAATTATTATTTTAAGAATAATTGTATGTGTATTGGGTTGGTAATTTTGGCCTGTCCCACCTCAGTGGTCTTGATATTCTTGACTGTATCAAAAAATCGAAACCGTACAAAATTATCATTATTTTGACATGATCTGTTGAATTAATATTTATTTATTTATGTATTTATATTAATTAATTAACAGTATTAAATCAAGGGTCAAAACGAAAAGAAAAGAAAAGACAAAAAAAACACACCTTTAATATTTAGTTTGATAGCATGAGGTTAGCACTCAGCATTTTTCACTAATAATTTGCTGGGAGGGAATCAATCAATCAATACAATTTTAAAAAGCAAATGTGATTTCTCAATGTCACTGTCCCTTCAGACTTGATCTGAATTAACCCTGAGTTCCAGTAGTGCCAGTTTTTCTCTACCAACATTCATTTTGAGCTTGTGTGTGTGTGTGTGTGTGGGGCTTTTTATTGGTACTTATAAAGCATGTATCCTGCATGACCATATTCTACATCCTTAATCCTGCCCAATACCTACATTTAACAACTACATTACTACATATTAATAAGCAGCAAATTAGGAGTTTATTGAGGCAAAAGTCATAGTTAATGATTTATTAGTAGTGAGAATTGGACCTTAACATAGTGTGACTGAAATTACTTACAAATTATGAACTGTGAGTGTTTAAGTTACTCAGTTAATAATAAAAGCCAAACAACAGTTAGTGACAAAAACATGCTTCTCGTTGTATTATTGTGTATACAGTCAAACCAAAATGTATTCAGACACCTAAAGTGTAAAAAAAATAGTAAAAAAGTACAAAACAAAGTCAAACATTGTCTATGGTCTCTGAATAATTTTTGGTTTGACTGTATTATTGTCAAGGTTATTAATGTAAGTACGTAAGTGAGTAAATAAGTGAATAAATCAATCAATCAATAAAACACTTACTGAAGCATGAATTGATTTTACTATATAATAAATCAATTAGAGTTTTAAAAAAAATAATACTGAAAATGTACTAGCTAAATGCATTTTGTTATGGTATTGGTTCAAACCTTAATAATCTTTTGTATTTTTACAACTGAATTTCACCACAAACAACAGCGTATCTATAATATGAAAGTGCAATTTTCACTAGAAGATTTTGTTTATTTTTTAAGACATATTTCATTTCTAAGACAATTTCAAAATTATTCTTCATTTTTTATCTCAATGTCGTTTTAAAATGTACATCATTTGCAGCTTTTTTTAATGTACCATTAATTATAATTATTATCTCATTTGTAAGTCGCTTTGGATAAAAGCATCTGCTAAATGACTAAATGTGAATGTAATGTAAACGTACTAAACAAAGGAAAAAGAAGAACACCAGAAAAATGTACAAACCCCATAATAATTTTTGTTGTCAGTAAAGCTAGCCATGTTTCCTTTAATTTGTTAAATAAAGATGCTTTTTAGACAAACTGAACAAAACAGTTTTAAATTGCAAACAACAACTATTGATTAAACTGGTATAAAAATTCACTTTTTTAAATAAATGGCATGGTAATTTCACCTTTTTCAGTGCATGTGAATAATAAAACTATTATTTTTTCTTGTTGTTTGTGTAAGATAAATGTTGTTCCTTATGACTTTAACCCAGAAACATCAAGTAGAAATGGAAATGTACTTACTGAAATGGAACGGACAAAAAAAAAAAAAAAACTCCAACGCTAAGAGGGACTTTGCCTTTTCTTTTCAGGACCATCACATGCCACTCAGCTTAATAGATGTTGCAACATTAGCGTTGTTGAAAATTTGAGAATCATGTTGACTCTGACTTACTGGAGGGCTATGAATAAAGATGAAATGGGGTGAAAAAATTAGGGTCTTGGCAAACTGTTTAATTTTGCAGCATCGCCATCAGCTTTGAGCTGTCATCTTTGGCTCAGCTCTCAGAACATAAGCCCTTTCCCTGCCCAGTTTCATAGTACATCCTCCAAGAGACCCTACGGTAAAACACGTGAGAAATTCTGCTTCAGCATTACAATGAAAACGACTGTGTCATTTAAAATGCATTTATATATTGATCCAATCGGAAATCATAGTTTCCAGTTTAAACCTGTGTTGCTCAGTTTGTCTAAAACCAAATAACTCTCACCACAAACAAACAAATAAATAAATTAATTGTTTATTTGTTTGTTTAATGCTGCAGTCTGTAACTTTTTTTGGTTATTAATTATCCGAAATCAATATTTGAGCAAGTACATAACCAGCCAGTGTTCAAAACTATCGCCTTACTTTAGCCCGATTCACAACGGTCAGCTTCTAATAATGGGGTACTTTGAGTGGTACAGGTAGGTTTTCGCGGGAAATTCGAGCATGCTGCTGCGTCATTACGTCACTTCTGTAAACATAAAGAAGTTGTCCCGGCTACTAGGCTATCGCATGTGAGGATCCTGCAGGTGGCCGATCGTTTGTAGCCTTTTCTCACGGGAGCTAGAATAATTAAATGTATCATTTTGATGGCGGATTGTAATCGAGAAAGGATTATGTGTTTATGAAACACATGTGAATGAAATTAAATTATATTCCAGTTATAAATGTGCTTCTGATTACAGATAGCCTGGGATTACACAAGATGTGTATTTTAAAGACAACCAGTTCGAAGGGAGCATAGTTAGCTTTTTCGGTTAAGAATTTCTTAATATGAAATTCGAATGGTATTGACAATCAGAGATTAGACTGTACAGAAATTGAAATCTACATGCTAATACATACTCATAGTCACGCAATGCTGATGCTGTTAACATTAATAATTTGAGAATAAAGTATAACAATAATAATAATTTGCATGGTTTGATGTGATATGAGCTAATTTTAGATTAAAGATTACAATCTTTAAATTAAATCACCATTGGTAGCACGATTTATTGTAATGCTGTTTGCCTCAGTTGGTCAGAACAAACGTGGCAGACTTGTTACTTGTTCAGATGACAATATACGGTGAAAATTCTTATTTGGGTCATATATTCCAAGACGTAGGCTAGAATCTGTGATTGCGAAGTACAGTATCTACACTGGTGCGGTGACTGACTGCCACACATACTCCTCAAAACATTAGATTAATCTGCGCTGGAGCCGCGCCAGAGCACAACCCATGTAAGGAAGATAATTCCACAAAAAGCTGCAATTGCAGGTTTTCAAACAGAGATGGTGACAAAGAGGCAAAACTTACGGACTGCAGCTTTAAATTGTATTTTCACTTGTCACCAGAATGTTAATGAGCAGAAAATATACTAACTGGAAAATTAGCGTGGGTTTAATAGGTATTAATAGGTATTTGGTGTTTATAATAAGTAATCTTGGTACAATAGGTTCCATTTGTTAACATTAGTTAAGTACATTAGTTTACCTAATCTAACAGTAAAAAAATATTTCTAAATCATTTATTAATCTTAGTTAATGTCGATTCCTACATTTACTAATACATTATTAATATATATATATTTTTTTATTAATAAACCTGAGCTATTAATATATTCATAAAAACTGTGACAAATGTATTGCTCATTGTTTGTTAATGTCACATAATGCATTAAATATAGTTAACAAATGGAACCTTATTTTCAAGTTTTACCATACATATTCAAAATGTAAGGTTTGGTTTATTTATTTATTTATCCAAATTACTTATCTCTCTCTCTCTCTCTCTCAATCTCTCTCTCAGTGTACGATGCAGTATGATTCTCTTCAGATCTTAAATACAGAGTTCTGGCATGAAACTCTAGATGGCGCAGTCCGATAGGTCTAACTCAATCTGACCTAATGAGATCTTTATCACATGGCACAGCTGATTGGTTCTCTCCTGTGTTGTTAGCCAATGAGCTCGCTGCTCAACATTCAAATTTATGACTAGTGCTTGCTGTAGCAGTTGCAGCTTGCTTCAGAAACCCTCCACCTTCCCCAGCTCCACCTGCATAGATCTGCTAAGAGGTGATTCATGTGTGCTATATGGCAGTGCTTAATTTGTAAATTAAACTTTGCCGTATCCAAATGAGCAGTTAAAAGGCACCGTGACCGACACTGACAATGCGACTTCAGTTTTCCCGGAACAGGTGATGACACAACCATAAGAGCATCGTTCACAAGTTTCTGCATGGACCTAACTATACAGCCTAGGTTTTCAAACCCTGGGTCAAAAATGGGTTGCCAGGATGTAAGGTAAATATAGGATGTAAGGCAAATATATGTAAGTTACATTAAAATTAACAAAATTTGTTTCCATAAAATTAAAATACATCCTAATCATAATCTATATAGAAAAGGTATAAATATGCAAAATATATCTGACATAAATAATTAACAGATATAAAACAGATGTGAGGCGCGGTGATCCGCAAACAATTTCACGGAAAGGGTTACCGAGAACCGAGATGACAGAACGCACACCTGTTTGTTTGCTTAATTACAAAAACACAAATGTTCTTTTTATTGCAAGTGTGAAAAAATAAAAGTAAACATTTACATTTAGTCATTTAGCAGACGCTTTTATCCAAAGCGACTTACAAATGAGGACAATGGAAGCAATCAAAATCTATTAAAGAGCAATGATAAGCAAGTGCTATAACAAGTCTCAGTTTAACGTAGTACACGTAGCAAGGTTTTTTTTTTAATTATATTATTAGGCCTAATAAATAAAAAGAAAACATAGATAGAATAGAAAAAGAATAGAGCACGCTAGTGTTAGAGGCCTTTTTTGCTTTTGTTAATTGTATAATAAATAAAAAGAAAAGAAATAGATAGAATACAAAAAGAATAGATAAGCCAGTGTTAGTTTTTTAAAATTAGTATTATTATACTTTTTTTTTTAACATTTTGCGGGTTGTTTTACTCTTATCTGTATGACCAAAAATGGAGTATATGTGTCAGCTGTTTGATCGTGCCGGCACCTTGCACACACACACACACACACACACACACACACCACATATTCTAGCAATTCAAATTTGCCATCGCAGTCTGTTCATTATCAGAATAAAATACAGTCAGCCAAACATATCGATTTAAAGAATCCGTAGTATAACCGGTCTACAGCTGCTGTTATGCCAAGCACATTTTTAGGCATGTGAAGAGGATGATTTTTTCACACGAATGAAGCCTAGTCTACATTATAAATAATAGTTTAACATTGAAATACATTACGAATATGGAAACATTGGCTTTGTGCCACATGAGAGAGGTACATGAGCCCAACGGTACTTTCAGTTTTGCTTTGTTTTGGTTTCTTTAGCTTTATATTTTTTCATTCTTGATCTGTTCTGCATACCGTTACATGTAAATTATTTGTTTTGGAGTGAGAGAAACTAGGCTATGATTATAGTGTTTATAATGTTTATACATTATACTATTTCACTTTATTTGGTATTTCTGGTATTATTACATTCTCTCCAAATGTTCCGCTGCTCACGAAAGAGAGAGTGAGTTAAGCAGCAGCACCAATCAACGAGAGCGAATTTGAAAGAAAAGCTGATTGGTCAATAATATGTTGAGGACCAATACATAATCTACAAATCATGCTCCAAATACATCTACATAAACCCGCAATCGCTCTGTCTCATATGCATGCATGCACTGTCACGATCTAATGCACTTGTTAATGCCGGATCTTTAAAAACAAATACCAGAACGCAAAAATCCAAAATCTGACATTTTCCGGAAACATGATCCAGCTCAAATTAAGCACTGCTATATGGGGGTTATTTCATATATGTAATATTTGCAGCAGCAATATTTCTTACATGCTCACAACAGCATATTGTTGATGTATTGGCAGTAGCAAGTCTCGGTACGTGTTCTGCCGCAGCAGCAGCGTAGCAGATCTATTTTGCCAAATACATTAACATTGTCATGTACATTACCATGCCAAACCCTCCGAGAGTTGTCATGACAGAACTGTGTTTTTCCCTTAATGTATTATTGGTTGAGTTGTAGTGACCATCATAGGTCACAAAAGCCAATAGTCTCTTTTCGTATTTTGTTTGTATATATGAGTGATTTTTGCAAAAACACAGAAAAAAGCACTTTCACTCTCACAGAAGCGTTATGCCACCCGTCGTGTGGCATATCTCAAGAAGAGGAATGCAGAAAGCACGGTCTCAGAAACCACACCACAGCCGTCGCCATGGCAACAGCCTCGCACAGTCTATTACGGTCCTGAATTTACTTGCTGAAATCGAGTGGATAAAAGGCAGCATAAAATTACAATGAGCACATGCGTTCAGATGATTAGGAATACCTGACACTATAATTTTACCCCTTTATGAGAGCTGTGGTGTAACATGCTGAATCTATGTTAGGAACATGTCTTAATGCCTTCTCTGACCCATTTAGCCGTAGGACTGACGACCTGCCCGGAGCCCGTGATACCGGCCAATGGCATCAAGAATGGCGACAGGTACATGGTGAACGAGGTTGTGTCATTCAGCTGTGAGCCGGGGTATGTGCTTCAGGTGAGTTGCTGATTATCCGCAGCCCTGACACACAAATACAACATGCTGCACCTGCACACGGTAGAAAAGTGCAAAAAAAAACAAGACGGAGAAGCTGTATCATGTGATCTCTTGTCTTCCAGGGACATTCTCACATAACGTGTATGCCGGGAACCGTGCGTCGCTGGAACTACCCCCCTCCGCTCTGTATCGGTGCGTTTTTCTATAATAAGTAGATTGCAGATTTTTTTTTTAACCATATGGCTTTTTCATAGTTTTTAATATTCAAACACCCAGGGCATTTTCTTTTATTTCTCCTTATGTTTCTTCAGCGAAGTGCGGCGGGACCCTGTACAATATGAGCAATGTGGTCCTGAGCCCGGGTTTCCCTGGGAACTACCCCGGAAACTTGGACTGCACCTGGAGAATCGTGCTACCTGTTGGATACGGTGGGTGCGCCGAGAGCTAATACAGAATCATCTGTCTGGAGATTACAGCTTCAAATGCTTTCTCTCAAGGAGTCTTTCCCCTTCAGTTTGTACATTGCAGTGTGCTGGTACCGATGACCAGAGTTGAGGGAGAACTAACTTAAAATAGTGAATCTGCTGATATGTTTATTTTCTTCAAGGGCTAGTTTATCAAAAAAAAAAAGTGTCATCATTTACTCAGTAACATGTTGTTCCAAACCTGTATGAAGTACTTTCTTCTGTTAAACACAATAGAAGATACTTTGACGAATTTTGGTAACCAAACAGTTGCTGGTAGACATTGATGTTGATGTTTTTTTTTTTTTTTTCATACTATGGAAGTCAATGACTACCAGCAACTGTTTGACTTCCAACAGTTTTCAAAATATGTTCTTTTGGGTTCAGCAGAAGAAAGAAACTCATAGAGGTTTGGAACAACTTCGAGGGTGAGTAAATGATGACAGAATTTAATGGATTCTCCTGGTCTTATTGTAAACTAATAATAAACATTAAATTAACATAAACATAAAAATGCCTCCACCTCTGATGCAAGATTCATTTTTGGATTATGTCATAGACTTCTCACTCTCATTACAACCCATTCTAGTATGTTAGACTTAGTTTCATTTTTTTTTTTTTTTTGCCAAATCCTGTAGAAATACATCACTTTACAGTAGTAATGGTAGGTAAAATTTTTCACCAACAAGAAGACCTAATTTTAGCAAACTGGCTTACTCATGTAATTACTCGGACCCTACACAACATTTGCATTTGTGTTGTCAGAAAATAATAGTTAAAATGTGAATATTCGATTAAAGCTTGCTTTTGTTCAAAATCAGAACACATTTCTTTTAATGGTATTTAAATTTGCATTCAACTCAATGCGTCAAAATGGTTTTACAACGTTAAACATAGAAATTCACTTGTGTTCCATGAATGACGCCCATTGAATTTGTTGCATGTGTAAACTCATGCATTAGGTACCCATATTTACCCAGAAACAAGACAGCATCACGCTGAATACCATCAGACATAAAATGATACTTCCTTTCCATTTGTTGTTCTGCTACTTGACACAAGGGCGTTATTTGGTTTCATTTATCTCAACTTTTAAGATGTGGTTTGAGCAGTCGATGCAACTCTCTGAAGTCATTTAGTCGTAGCCCGCCTCACAGTTCAAATGAGTTGAGAACAAAAGAACCATTCCAGATGTTAACAAGGTAATTGCATGTCATTTAAAAAAGCCATTCACACTTATCCTGGAGTGCAACTATTTATTTTCCAACCCCCTCTAACTTGGAAGAAAACAATGTAACATTGAGATATCCAAAAGCAATTTTCTGCCTTATCGAGCAGCCACTGCACAAGCAAGAGCAAGAACCATCATGTTTCCGCTGTGTAGCAAAAAATGCATTAGCTTTCACTGTTAACAGGCTACAATAATTTGAATAAGACACACAGATGGCTTTGCTGGTGCTGATTATAGCTTTTAGGACAGTCTGAATAAGCAGAGTTAAGTGCAGTTAGAGGATAGCACCGCATCAGAATGACAATAAAGCTAATGTTTAAAAGAGCTGCCCAAGGCGTCTCAGAGAGACGCATGCTTTCAGTGAAAGCGACTGACTTGTTTGATTCTTTTGTTGTCGTATCATCCAACTATCTTCTTTTATGTAATGAATGTTAAGTTCAAATCTTGTGGTTGGAGACAAAGACAGAATAATTGTTGAGGATGAGGTGAAGTTAATGATGCGTAATTGTAAAATTTCGCACTGGCATCTTTCCTGTGCTATTTCTTGCTGGCTTGGAGGAGCTACACATTGATGAATTTAAGTGACAGCTACGGAACCAGAAATAAACAAAACCCCTTCCGCCCACCACACAAAACACTGAAATGCTGGCAACACTTGGACTCCAATTTACTGAAGAAGAAGAAGAAGAAGAAGAAGAAGAAGAAGAAGAAGAAGAAGAAGAAAAAAAGCTTTTTAATTAATATAGATGATGCTCTTGTGTGAGGTAAATAGTTCAGAAGAGAGTGGAAGGAGAGCAGCACATGTATGTAGAAATACAGCAGTTACTGTTAATGGCGACTGGTTGAGAGTTTTTTTAATAAAGTGAAAAAGATTTTTGCATCCATATTTGACCCTGGTGTGGACCCCAGGATGGGAACCGCTGGTGTAGGCTATATGCCTGGGTTTAGTTGGCTACCTCACTATGCAATATGTTTCATCATACATGCGTCGAAATCGATATGTATTATGATACATCACAAAGTATCATGACCAGGCCATTAAAAAATAAATAAATTACAAAATAAAATAAAATCTTCTAAATAGTCAGTACTGTCAATTGAATGCCTCAAAATGTCATATTTTAGTCTTGAAAGAGACTTACCAAATTGACAAACTCAATCAAAGCGTATGTTTTTAGAAAAAAAAAACAGAGAGGGAACAGAGACTCAAAGCATGCAAAGAGAGTGAATGTGCGGGTCTCTCTGTCTCGAGCTGAGTCAGAGCAGAGTTTATGAGAACTGCCGGTACGCAAAATTCATTGCCGGCACTCTGAACAGCATAACACATAAGCACTGTCAGTAATGCAAGAGGTTAGAGGCACAATAGATCAAAAAATGTCTTGCTGCCCCCATCATTTTGCACCGTAGGTTTGCAACCATCTATGTCTGTGTATGCTGTGTATGGATGTAGTTACTGGGAAATGATGTCTTGTTACATTAGCATTAACATAATTTTAAGTAAGTTTAAGTAAGCTGTAGAATTCATATTTTTATGTCATTTTATGTCATTAAATTTCCCCTATGCTGTCTTTTCACATCCATAAGATTGAGTTCATCTTCAAAATAGAAATGAAGGTATTTTCAATGATATCTGAGAGATTTCTGTCCCTCCACTGAAATTCTATTCACCATCAAAACTTTAATGGTTCCAAATCTTTATAAAGACACAGTAAATATAATCCATATGAATCGTGCGGTTTAATCCAAGTCTTCTGAAGAGACACGATCCATTTATATGTTGAACAACAGATTTCATTTGGTTTTTAATTCATATATAAAACTGATCAACACATATATAAACTGAAACTCAAAAGAACAATCCTCATTGTCTCTTGTGCATCAAGCACGTTTGAAAAGGCCCAAATTAAATCTTTTCATCACGCTATATAAAGCAATTGTGTCTGTTCAGATTAATTGGATTTAACCATTCGATTCATATGGATTACGTTTCTTAATACTTTTTGAAGCGTCAAATGACTTTCAATGGAGGGACAGAAATCTTTAATTTCATTAAAAAATATCTTCATTTGTATTTCAAAGATGAACAAAAGTCTTATAGATTTGGAATGACATGAGGGTGTGTAAACGATAACAGTTTTCATTTGAATAACTAATACTCCACAAATCTGTGAAGTCCATGTCAGCTTGAGTGATGCTGTTATTAAAGTAAAAAGGCACAAACAAAATACTTTCTAAAATCCATATAAACCACATTTTCACTTAAATTTGATGCTGATAAATGAAATATCTGGAGTCTGTAGGATAAAAGACAAAAAAAAGTCTAAAGTTTTTTAGTAATATGCTAGTTCCCTACCTGTTTTCCCACAGTTCACAGGAAGCCAATTACTGTGCTAACACGGCTGTTACATTTTTTTCCACACATATGAACATGAGGGAAAAACGATTTGTGATTTAGCAATTAACAGCATCTATTTTAACAGCAGCAAGAGCTGCTCTGTACAGGCCAGTCAGAGTTATTGTTTAAAAACCCATGTCGCTTTAATGACATTCCATATGTAAATTATGCACATAACCTAAGTCATGTGACACACGGCCTGTTTGACTCTGCAGGGGCACACATCCAATTTCTCAACTTCACCTCTGAGGATAACCACGATTTTTTAGAGGTTCGCAATGGGCCGCACCACAGCAGCTCTCTGATTGGACAGTTCAGCGGAAGCCAAGTGCCGCCCCCTATACTGAGCAGCACTCACGAAACCGTCATCCACTTCTACAGCGACCACTCCGAGAACAGACAGGGCTTCAAACTCACTTATCAAGGTGGGTGACTTCCCAATCCTCCATTTGCATGCCGCGCTCTCTTCTCCTGCAGACATCAGCCGTCCTTGATTTTGTATTGACCCTTCATGTGGGAGTGACGGCCTTTTACTAAGATCATTGGAAATATCTAAAGATTCACTTCCTTTGAGATCACTGGGAGGACACTCCATTATGACAGCCTTGAAAGCATTTTGAAATCAATAAGACGGTGCATTTGGATGTGCACTTGGATTCCACTCTATATAAATAACTCACCATTGTCTGGTCTCCTCGCTTGTAGGTCAAACAGTTCGTTTCTCTCTTTTCTTATCCACTCTAGTCTGAGTTGAAAAGAGCCAGGCACAGCCTTGATCTGTGCTGCCAGACGGGCTTTTGCGGGGGGGAATACTGATGCCGTGTTTTGATACACAAACAATGATGCAGGATGAAAGAATATGATTATAAATCTGTTGATCATAAGCGCTGCACTTGAAATGCTGCCTGGAGATGCTTGTGTGTTAGTTTGACAAGCTTTCTGCTACTTCACCACACTGGTGACGATACACAGAGATGAGCAACATCTTGCATGTTTAGCTGTCATAAACGCCTTAGCATAGTGTAGGCACTTTTGTGAATCTTTGTCATTTTATAGTTGATTGAGTGAATGTTGATTGATTTTATACATTAGGCTTTTATCGCGCCATATATGATAATATGGGAAAACACACCTCAGTTTTATTCAGAGGCCCAAACTGAGTAAAAAATATGCAGTTTGGTGCAGATGCTGAGTAATTGTGGGGGACAAAACATATTGCAATGCAATACAACGTCTAGGTTACTTGTGTAACCCTCGTTCCCTGAAGGAGGGAATGGAGACGTTACGTCAGTGACTGACGAATTGGGATCTCGCCCGAGAGCCCAATCACCTTTGAGGAGCGCTGAAGCGCCCAGGGGAGGTCGCAGCGAGACCGCAGAATGAGAGCTGCAGCCCGCTGAGGTTTCAGCAGCCTGGATGGCAACCCCCGCTGATACGCCGTCACACCAACGCCAGCTGTTTCTCGAACACTCGCGGAGATTCGTCCTGTAGAAGGCTCGGCTCCGAAGCGAAAAGCTGATGTGCGTTTGCACGCGCTCTCCTTTTATACCCGCCCTGCGGGGCGGGGTGCGCGTGGCGAAGCACGCACGCCAACTGTCATTGGCTTGTTTAGTTAACACTCAAAGGTGATTGGGCTCTCGGGCGAGATCCCAATTCGTCAGTCACTGACGTAACGTTGAACGTGACTGACTGAATGGGAATGATGGTTGCATTACATTTACCATAATATTTCTAAAAAAAAAATTGTATGGATAATCAAAAAACCTAAGTTGCTTCCATTCAGTAAGTGTTGAAATGGAAATATCACTAACAATATTAAAGGCATTCTTATGTATATTTGAGAATAAACGTATACCACAACCTGAAGGTATAATTTTTTTTTTTTTTGAAGAAGGCCTTTTCCTTACTAAAAATATGTACTATCAATTAGCAGGCAGAATGCAAAGTTTTTCTGCAGGTTTGATCATGTTAATGATTTAGAGGCCTTAGAAATTCATGTATAAAATATGATGCACTTGGCCTTATATGGTTATCTTTCTTATTTATTTATTTATTTATTTGTTTGTTTGTTTATTTATTTATCTTAGTTCATATCAGCTTGAGTGCTACTGGCATTAAAGAAAAGGAGAGACAAACAAAATCTGTTTAATCTCCCAATGCTAATAAACTAATTTGTGGTGAAAATATTAGATTTTTTATTTGTTTTACATTTTTTACTTTTGGTTTCAGATATTTAGGGAGGAAAGAAGGTAAATAAAGAAATGAATAAATAAATGAACCCAACCATGAAATCTTGGTCATCACTTATTCATTAATATAATATTGTGTTTTTCTTAATGTCTTTTTTTCAGTGAAGCATAAACATCTTATTGTATGTTTAACAAAATACATTTGCATGGGTTTGAAATGGCATGAATTCAATTATTTTAGTTCTTTTAAGTGGGCCCAACTAGTAAATATCATACTTCAACTTCCAGACATGACTTTACAGATATTCATATATTCTGTTGTTGTTGTTTTTTCTTGTAGCATATGAATTACAAAACTGTCAAGACCCATATCCATTCCACAACGGGTATATCATCAACAGCGATTTCAACGCAGGCCAATCCATAACATTTGAATGCTTCCCGGGATACGTGTTAGTCGGCTACCCTGTGCTAACATGCCAGCACGGAATCAACAGGAAGTGGAACCACCCCTTTCCTCGCTGTGAAGGTAAATGGAAGGGAAGAAAGTAATGTCCCTGTTAACATTTCTTTAAGTTTCTCAAGTTGTGTTGTGATTAGCACACAGTTATTTGCAGCCCTCTTTGCCCACACTTTGAAACCAAAAAACATGAATAATTCTGACTTTTTGAGACTTACAAAAGGTATTATATTCTCCCAAATGTCTTTTTAACTATGCTCTTTAAGTGAAGTGTTACTACTTTGCATTACTAGTACAATAAGAGCCATTGTGTTTTAAACCCATCTTTAAAACAGACTTTGAAGACCTGAACAGTGGAGACATATGCTACTGGGAGCTGTTCTAAATTGTAGCCGTGATGATTAGCGTGGGTAGTGTAGTGTGAAATCCGACCTGTCTCTTATCAATCGGTCGCTCAACATGTTCCTCCTAGGCTTCCGTTTGCGGGGAATCTGCACTGCAAAGACTATTGGGCCATTTTTCTTTCTTTTTTATCATAACTGTGTTATTCTGTTGTGCCAGTATCTTCTATATAGCAGCCTCAGGAATGTTATGTTCTCTTCTTCAGTTTGCAAATGAAACCGTTCTGTCTACTATAGTAGTCTTTGAAAGAGAAGATGTGTATATTTTGCCAGTGTTTACGCACTCTTGTGTTATTTTTTCCCCCGTATGACATTCTCCATACAACAACATTTCATAGTGACATCTGTAAAACTCAAAAGAAAAGTGCTATAAAAGTAGTCCATATGAGAATTATGAAAAATAGCTGCATGAAAATTCTTAAATTCATCAAAAACAATATATAGATATATACATAAATATACATGAGAGTGGGTAAATAATGTCAAATAATGCCGTTACTATTCTGATTTTGCTGGATTCCCTGGTGTTTAACATTAGCCGTTATTCAGAAAGACAGATTACTAATGCCATCGTGGTTGAATGATGTTTATCTGCACACAGCTCCCTGTGGCTATAACGTGACGGCTCCAAACGGCACCATTTTCTCTCCAGAGTACCCAAATGAGTACCCAGACTCTCAGGACTGCACTTGGCTCATCACCGTGCCCCATGGTCATGGGGTTTACATCAACTTCACCCTTCTCCAAACTGAGCCTGTGACTGACTATATCGCTGTCTGGTGAGCGCAGCTCCATTTAACGAGTCGTTTGGCAAATATCAGCCTGAGATGAGGACAAGACAATTATTTAAGCTTTCAAACTAGACTAATGCTGCTATTGTTGTCGTACATCAAGCAAATCATTACGCAAATCGAGCTCCACTTTGTTTACTGGCATTTGTAGTCTGTGCAAAGCGAGATTTCAAGAAAAGTTCAGATGTCTTTGAAGTTGTAAAGCTTTTCACTCAAAGCGTTGGGGTGATTCTCGTGAAAAACAGAAAAGAAAATAAAGCCTAATTTTACAACCGTTTTAGAAAAATTACAAAAACAGTTAATACCGATTTATATGGGGATATTAATAAGTTGCGATTCATTCCAAAAATACGGTCACACTTTATTTTAAGGTCCAATTCTTGCTATTAACAAACCATTAACTATGACTTTTGTCTCAATAAACTACTATTTTGCTTTGCATTAATAATTAGTAAGGTAGTTGTTACGTTTTGGATTAGGGATGTAGAATATGGTCATGCAGAATATGTGATTTATAAATACTAATTGAAATACTGTTGTACTTTTGAAAGATGGCTCAACATGTTCTTGACCCAATTTCTTTATTTGAAACTTACTAAAGTTACAGAAATAACTGAATGGAAATCTTGTTTCATTGAATCGTTGGTATTTTGTAATAATCACAAAGCGCAGAGCTGAATGTCATAGTTCCCACTGAATAATCTGAAACAAGTGTTGATTAAAAAATGTGGAAATATGCATCTCCGGCGCTTTCCCAGTAATATTGTCCATTAATCTTCAAAAGCCATTAAACAAGCGGACTTGTCTGTTAAGTCATCATTTTTGCTGTTTGCGTTCAAGCTGGTCTGTAATGTAATGCTTTTATTCAAAAGTCAGCACAATCTCACTGTAAATTTGGAAGTAAATCAATTTTCTCAAACCACTCAGAATTTCAAGGCATTATAACGCCATTTAGCGGCAGGATCTCAGGTTGTAATGTAATTTCAAATGCGTGTTTCCTCTTCCAGGGACGGCCCAGAGCAAAGCTACCCTCAGCTGGGAATTTTCAGTGGCAACACAGCCCTCGAGTCAGCCTACAGCACTCTCAATCAGGTTCTTATCAAGTTCCACAGCGACTTCTCGACAAGTGGATTCTTTGTCCTTAATTTCCATGGTTAGTTTCTCCTTCAAATGAAAAATGTTGCCGCTGAAGTGCAATGCATACCATAAAGTGCCGCTTGAAATATATATTCGAAACATGGGATTCAACTTGTTTTTATGCTCTAAGGAGGCATGACTGCTGCTTCTGATGACATCACGTTATTTCTGGAGATTAGAAGAGTCCAAAATAGCTGTCCTTTGGCCTCTTTGATATGAGTGTCAGCATGCAGGCATGTTGTTGAAAAGCATAGGAAGTGTGAAAATGAACCAGACTTTCATCTATACCTCCAAATTTCATTTCAGAAGAAGTCTGGCATATCTGCGAGTTATAGACGTGTGGTTTCAGTGCAGCTTTTATTCTTGAGAGGCCTCCCAGTATGTCGATGCATAGAATTGAATGTTGTCACATGTTGTATATGTAATTGATGCTGTGAGTGGGTTGCCTTGTGTGAAATGTGTCATGCCTATAAAGGTGAACGAAGAGGCAAACTGCTTAATTTTTTTTTCCTTAGCTTATCGACTCAAGAAATGCCCTACTCCCCCTACTGTTGAACAAGCAGAGATATTATTTGAAGACCAGGACTATGAAATTGGTATGAACAGCTGTCCAATTATGCAAGAATATCAAAGTCATGATTTAAAACATGCTTAATTCTTCTTACTGTCTTACTGTACCATGCAGGTGACATTGTGAGGTATCGATGCTTTCCTGGATTTACATTGGCTGGCAGCGATGAGCTCACATGTAAACTGAATTCTCACCTGCAGTTTGAGGGTCCACCTCCAGTGTGTGAAGGTCAGTGAAGAACAAAACCTGTAGAAATATGAGAGATATTTATTTCAATATGGAAATACATAATATGGTCACACTTTAATTTGGGGACCAATTCTAACTATTAACTATGACTTCCCAGTTTATGAACTCCCAGTTTGCTGCTTATCAATAGTTAGTAAGGTAGTTTTTGAGTTTAGGTATGGAGTAGAATTGAGGGATCTAAAATATGGTCATGCAGAATAAGGCATTAATGTGTGATTTATAAGTACTAATAAACAACCAATATGTGAGTAATATGCATGCTAACAAGCAACTAGATAATAGTCAGAACTGGTCCCTAAACTAAAGTGTTACCGATAATATTTTACAGAGAGCCTATGTTGATTTCTTTCTTTTTTTTTTCTTCTTTTTTTCATCTTTTGCATTTTAACTGTAATGAAATAAAAAATCGTTGAAATGTAAAATAATATTAATAGTAAATTATTTAAATTGTATATAGTGTTTATATGCCATGGTAGTATATTATCTTTAACATATGCTGCATACTGAATTATGATTTGATATCCCATGCATATATTTAACCTAATGATATATAGTGCATACCTTGCATTGTTTATTTTTGTGCTGACAGAAAACAAGATGCAAGTTTAGCGTCCTGATGATGACGAAGTGACTCTTCTGCAGCGTAAAGCCTAAAACTTAAACTTGCCTAAACTTTCTATAGTGCTATTTCCTCCAGAATGTGCACATCCAGTTTTTATTATTATTATTGTTGTTAATTTTATGGTGATACACAAATAAAGCACTATATTACAGTAATGAGAATATATTTAATAATGGGAATTACACAACACATCCAAAAGGAAGTACTTCATGTAAATAATTTAAAGATGGCTGGAGACCACCAATCTAAAATAATAAAGATGTTGAATCATTAGTGTGATTCTTGTAATCAAAGCTTGTAAAATTGTAATCCATAAAAAGATGGCACTGAACACCCCAGAGGCTGCATTATTTTGTTGTATGGTAACAAATAGACAGTAGCCAACAGCTGTCTTGGGAGCAAAGGAGGAGGAGGGGGAGGGGGAGGCTGGGGGGAAGCATTCCAGTTATCCACAGCAAAGCTTTCAGTTGTAAATCTGAGCCGTTTGGCTTGTCTGTACTTTCTGTACAGTGCCATGAAGAAGCGATAGTTCTCCTGGTTTGTTTCCTCCACCCTCCCGCCCACAAAGCGGATTAACAAAAAGCTTCAACTCACTTTGTTGCTTCCTCAAACCAAGGCTCCCCAGGAGAAGCACTGCGCATGTTGGAGAAAGTTTTTCAACTTTACTGTTTTTACTGCAATACTCTGGAGCTTGCATCTTGTGCTTTGTTAGTAGGACAACCACATTGTGATTTGTAATAATAGCCATGATTCCTGTGAAATGCTATGTCTATGCTACAGCTCAGTGTCCTGCAAATGAGGAACGGTCTGCCTCCTCTGGTGTGATCCTGAGTCCAGGATTCCCCAAAAACTACCCCAACTCCCAGACCTGCTCCTGGATCATCAGAGTGCAGCCTGCCTTCACCATCGCCATTTATGTGGAAATGTTCCAGAGCGAGAAGCAGTTTGACGAACTGGAGATCTTTGATGGTAGATTCTATTCTATTCTATTCTATTCTATTCTACTAGCAACAATACTTCATAACACAAATATATGTTTGGAAAAATCATTTGTGAGCCATTTTGACCAGTTTTAAAAAGTAAATGCTTACTATTAAAACGAAAGGTCAAACCTGAGACAAAAAAGCCTTATATTTAGGAGGCATGCTTAAAGGTATATAGTTCACCCAAAAATAAAAATGTACTGTCAATTTACCCTATGTTAATGGCCCCTCAGGCCATCCAAGATGTAGGTAACTTTTTTTTCCTTTTTTTTTTCTGAAGTAGGGCAATAAAGAACATTTTTAACTGAAACTGTGGTCCTTGGTGTTTCACAAAAAGTCAACACCTACCATCACTTTGAGAATCAAAAAATCATATACAGGCAACACAAAATTAATAACTGTGGCTCCTGATGATATATTGAGGTCTTATGAAGAGAAACGATCGGTCTGTGCAAGAAACTGAACATTCTTTACATCATTATTACCTCAGTTCAGTAAAAGTTCGGATTCGGACCGAAGAACTGATTAGCTGTTGATACTTGCATACTGAGCACTTGAATGAATGGGGCGAAATTAAAGTTTTTATGGTTTCACATTGAATTTTCATTTGTTTGTGAACTATCCCTTGATAAACTTCATAAGATCATACAACTTTCACATTTTATTATATGTGTTTTAGAGAATTTCTGAAGATCCTCAAGGAACCAGCCAAGTAACAGGAAAAACAGTGTAGTGTAAACAGTTGTGATGACTAGGTTGAATTTGGATATGCTGATTTGATCAAAGGTGGCACTTGGCTTGAAAAGCTTGAGAACCACTGCTCTATGACATATACTTCTTCCTAAAGTTACGTCTGTCTTGTTGCTGCCCAACAGATTTGTGGTTTGCAATATTTAGCTTTTCTTGTTGTTTTTGTGATGTTTTATTTACCAGGGCCATCTGGACAGAGTCCATTGCTGGTGGCTTTGAGTGGGAACCACTCCACACAATTGAATTTCACTAGCAAAACAAACCAGCTTTACCTCAGATGGTCAACTGATCATGCGACCAGCAAGAAAGGCTTCAAAATACGCTACACAGGTTTGTTAAACATATTTCACCATTTCATGTTTTTCATGGATGCATCCAGAATTAATGTAGGGTTATTCTTAAAAACTTGGAAAAAGCAAAAGACTTATTGAGCACAAAACCAGCAACACTTGTAGAAAGGAGAAATCAGAGAATAAAATAAAATCTTTACTCTTTTAGACCTGATAAAGGCAGGATCAGAATGTGTTGTCAAATAAATACAGAGTTGTGGCATGAAACTCTAGATGGCGCAGTCCGATAGGTCTAACTCAGTCTGACACAATGACATCATAATCACATGGCACAGCTGATTGGTTCTCTCCTGTATCGGTAGCCAATGAGCTCGCTGCTCAACATTCAAATATATGACTAGTGCTTGCCGTAGCAGTTGCAGCTGGCTTCAGAAACCCTCCACCTTCCCCAGCTCCACCTGTATAGATCTGCTATGAGGTGATTCATGTGTGCTATATGAGGGTAATTCATGTATGTTATATTTGCAACAGTAATATTTCTTGCATGCTCACAGCAGCATGTTGTTGATGTATTGGCGGTAGCAAGTCTCGGTACGTGTTCAGCCGCAGCAGCAGCGTAGCAGATCTATTTTGCCAAGACCAAATACATTAACATTGTCATGTACATTACCATGCCAATCCCTCCGAGAGTTGTCATGACAGAAAGACAGTTTTTTTTCCCTCGAGCTCCATTTGTTTGATTCCACATTTGATGCATACAGGCATTTAAATCAGGAATACATTTACAATTCTTTCTAATTAGCCTGTTGGTACATTCAATAGTATGTAATAATATGTGCCTCAGATTAATTCTCACCATTTAGCCCTCCAAGGTTGTTGCTTTGGATCCAAATGGGTCAATAAGTAAAAAAGTCAGCTTTTTCTAAGTTGGCCCTCATTAGGCTAGAACCAGACATGTCCTACCTTCAGGGAGCCATTGGCAAGTCTGCTGTAATAGAGGTCAAAGATGCAGTAATGCATTTTGCTGAATAACTACCATGTCGTATGCTTCTGACCGACATTTCCACCAATGGCTAAACATGATATATGGGCCGCAAAGCCAGTGGCCATGGTTACTCTGCATCTCTTCACCCGTTCCCATTTCTCTGTCTCTCTGTCAGCGTTTCTTGCTCTCTGTGTTCATTTCAGTTGATCTTTCTGACATACGATGCCCTATGCAGGCTCATTTTTCCAGTGTTGCCAAATGTTTCCTATTTATTGGATTTTGTCAAGAGTAGACAGAAAGAGAAACCATTATGTCGCTCGGAGGAACTGTGTTTTCTAAACCTCTGAGTGGCTACTGTGTTTTTAGATTTTTGATTACAGGAAGTAGGTAACGCTTTTTGATATATATAACACTGTTATCTCTATAAAGCATCTTTGAGAAGCAACTTCAAGCCCTTTCCTGCCTTTCTTAGTCTTTTGGGCTTTCAGGGTAAAGAAAATTAAAATTCAGTGCCACATGGACGTTTTTTTTATGCTAGGTCTAGTTAATCACTCACAGCTAAGTCTAAACCTCTCAGCAGAGTTGGTGTGATGATGCATTTGATTTGATCTGTCTGAAGTGAGACTAAGCTTTGACATCCCTCGAGCTTCTGCTTTCCTTTTTATGATGGGTAAACTTGTATTTGTGTCACATCAAAAAGAAGATCTAATGATCTGTTCATAACCATCAAGCTGCACTTTCGTTTTATCTCAGAATCAAGCTTAAACACAGTTTTAAAGACCTCCAAATTTGAGTTGTATGGCTTTTAGTCCACATCACATAGTTTTGATTCTAAATGGCCGAGTACCACCATAAAAGTTAACTGAATTAACTTAGAAGACTTTTTTCTTGTTATGAAATGGACCAAAAATATGGATTACTCTTAGATTTAATTTTCTATGCAATAAAAAGCTGCCAAAGAAGTGGAGAACTGGTTTTGCTTCAGGACGCAGATTTTTACATTGACCAGCAAAATACTTGTTTATTTTATAGAAGTAAATGGCATGTCAACAGTTTTTAATCAGTATGCCTTGTTTACCAGCAAAAATGTCCTTAAGAAATATATTTAGCCTAGTTTCAAAGGAAATTTTAACAGATAAGGTCCTGTAAGTGTTATATTAATGCGTAAACTGTGTTTATATCTGAAAAGTGGGCAATGTCATTATCATCACACACGAAAATCTTCACATTACACTAAAATCCGCATAAAGGTTAAAAAGTGCATATAGACAAAAATGGTTTGAATAAGTTGAATTTTTCAATAACCCTGAACATCATACTATAACAAACTGTGTTTGTTACCGTCTCCCACAGCTGCGTACTGCAGTGTGAACGATCCACCCAAGAATGGAGGAGTCATCAATAGGGCGAGAGATCAGCCCGGCAGCAGGCTCCAGTATTACTGCAACGCTGGCTACAGGCTTGTGGGTCACAGAAATGCTACATGCAGACTTCATCCCAGTGGGCTTTACCAGTGGGACAATCCGGCCCCACTGTGTCAAGGTAACTCACACTCGGCAGAGATATTCACTGGCTCATTCTCCTCATTTAAATGACATTGGAATTGCCTTGAAAAGGCAACCTGCCTCCTCGCGTATGAAAAATGTGTCATTCTGCGGGGCGCTCAAAAGCACCTCCGCACTCCTCGACGAGAAGCCGCTTTTATTCCGTTAAACACTTCCGTCGAGGACTGTGCAATGAGATCACGAGTGTCCTTTGTCCCAATGTCATAATGGGCGACTCTTCAGTCACGCTAAGACTAAGACAGAAATGTAATTGAATGTGTTTGATGTGTCGCGGGTTCTCTTAATTTCATTGTTCATGCTTCCTTCTCTGCTCCTTCCTCTTTTATTGAGGTGCTAATTTTATCCTTCAGCCTACGTGGCATTTTGTCCGCCCTTTCTCCTTTCGCACACCGAGCCCTCGTGTCTTCTGTTCCAGAGCATTGTCAAAGAAAATGGTCTCTTCTGGAGGTTTCATTAGCAAGACGAGTCATCCATCAGACGTGCACTTGCATAAAAATAGTGAGCGAATGAACAGTATGTAGGCCTAATTGTTCCAGCTGTTATTTGTGCAAGTTTAAGGCAGGTTAAGAGATGAGGCTGAGATGATTATATAACGATTAAGTATATTGTACTTTTCATGAATAATGTAGGAATAATAGGGTCTAAAACTTTTAAAAGAAAGTCATTGATGTTTTTTTCTTCTTCTTCTCTTTCTAACAAATATTCTGTGAAAGACGATGTGCTTAACCTTGAGAAAATGTTGACCATTAACCTCAGGAGGTCAAACTAAAAAGGAGCTTTTTTATTTTTTATGTGAGGTTTGCAATTTTTTCTTCTCTGTTATGAAAGTGAGTAATAATTAATCATTTTTGACTTTTCAGTCTGAGTTAAATCTCTTTTTTGGCTCAAGAAAACCTGCTTAATTAATAATTATGCACACCTGAACATGAGTTTTTCCAGCCTCCATGGACAATTATAAATCACTTATAAATGATTAAATACTAAATTAATAGTAGTTATTAACATTGATGTGGTCTGGAATTGGTAAAATGTGCTTGGAAAAAAAAAATATGATCAGAATATCAACTTGCATAATAATTATGCACGCACAATACATGAAAATTTGCCAGTAGTCATCATTATCTACTAGGCAGTTGTTATTCTTTTGAGTTGACTGGAGTATCTGTTATCAACTCTGTCACGGTTGCCTACTGTTCGGAGCAAGGAACGAGGAAACGAGGGATTTCATACAGAACAGTCTAATGATCCACAGGAATCATGGTAGCCAGGAGTCACACGTAGCACAACGACGTTCAGAACCGACAAACACAGACTGCACAGACAGGGGCTAAATACACAGGATCATTGGGAAGACACAGGTGTACGGGATGACCAATTAAACTAAACGAGGACAGTAACATGACCAAATAAGGGAACAGAAACAGGGGCAAAACATGGCACAGACAGTCCATAATCCTGACATTACGCCCTCTCCCAGAAGGTGCGTCCTCGCACCGTAGCAACAACAGAGGGGGGCATGGGTGGGATTTTGGGAGGAGGTTCCGGAGGAGGATGGACACCCGGGAGGGGGCCGGCAGACAGAGACCAGGGAGGTGACGAAGTAGGGAGGCGGAAGACACAGGTGTACGGGATGACCAATTAAACTAAACGAGGACAGTAACATGACCAAATAAGGGAACAGAAACAGGGGCAAAACATGGCACAGACAGTCCATGATCCTGACACATATGACCCATATATGCATCTTTAGGACATTATTAGGTGAAGATCATGTTCCATTAAAATATTTTGTACATTTCCTACTGTAAATATATCAAAACTTAATTTTTGATTAGTAATGTGCATATCTAAGATCTTCATTTGGACAACTTTTCTCAATTGTTTTTCTTTTTTTGCACCCTCAGATTCCAGATTTTCAAATAAATGTATCTCAAAATATTGTCCTATCCTAACAAATCATACATCAACAGAAAGCTTATTTATTCACCTTTCAGATGATGTATAAGTCTCAATAAAAATAAAAAAAGACCCTTGACATTAAAACTGTTTCCCTGTTAGCACACTGCTCTTATGTCATGGGCAGGTGCGCTATCCAGTCTCAGACCATTCTAGTGAATGAAAAGCTTCTGCTGACTGCTGCCCAAAAAGGGTGCCCAGGGCCGCACTTAAATTTTGTCCTTTTAAGGGCGTTTCACAAAGATGCCTGCCAAACTTTCTATAAATTTAACAAGCAAAGATTTTACTCATGGAATCTCATTACTCTTAATCACACAAAGGTAAAAGACACCATTCCAAGGACTGGAGGTTATGGCACTAATATCCTTTTACCATTGCACGCACCTCAGAATAGCTCTGGCTAGACCCCATTTGTATTGAAGGGCATCTAGAATGGGTGCTAATTAAGGCCAATCATTTCTTTAAGTGGTGGGAGCGATCCATGCAGTCTGCCAGCAGGTCAGTCTGAGGTAGAGGAGGGCTCAGGGCTTGATTTTTATTCAGGTTGTGATCATTTTAACGAGGAAGAGTTTTAATTGGTCCCGTTGCTTTCCTCTGTGTGCCTGCCTCATTTTTTAGAGACCCCTTTCATTTTTCTTGTTTAAAAGAGCCAATTCCATATATGAATGTTTGCATGTAATAGAGGTCTGCTACCTGACGCGAGACCAACGGGACCTGACTGACCAACAGGTTTTAACGGGTTTCAAGTTCTAGTGACGAGCTACAATAAAGTCCCATTGTATCAGTATTGTTCATTGTTAGTTAATGTTAAAAAATGTAGTGAACTCATGTTAACAAATTAAACCTTACTGTAAAGTGTTTTCCAACATATTGCATCAGATTTCGATCAGGTTTGGGTTTGTAATAAATAAAACTATTTTCATAATGTTTTATGGTTCTACCACCTTCAGGTGTTCCTGCAAAGCTCCTACTTCCAAGCTATATATGTGACCCTGGACCACAAACCCAGTCTTAAGTCGCAGGGGTATATTTGTAGCAATAGCCAAAAATACATTGTATGGGTCAAAATTATAGATTTTGTTTAATACAAAGGAAATATCATGTTCCATGAAGATATTTTGTAAATGTCCTACCATAAATATATCAAAACTTCATTTTTGATTAGTAATTTGCATTGCTAAGATCTTCATTTGGACAACTTTAAAGGCAATTTTCTCAGTATTTTGATTTTTTTTTTTGCACCCTCAGATTCCAGATTTTCAAATAGATATATATCAGCCAAATGTTGCCCTATCCTAACAAACCATACATCAATGGGAAGCTTATTTATTCAGCTTTCAGATTATGTATAAATCTCAATTTCGAAAAATTGACACTTAAGGTTTTGTGGTCCAGGGTCACATATATGGTTGTATTTCTATATATGCATAGAATCTAGAAACATATCAGAAACATTGTGCACATAATGCATGGAAATGTAAAATGAATCCAGTATATAAAATGTTGATAGTGCATTCAATATTCAAAATAATGAATACAAAGGGTAAATATATTTTGCTTATTTTACTTATTTAAACTTTTGAATCTACTATGCTTATTTATTATTATAGTTATGAAAATCAAGTATTTAGTTTCATCATAGTCCATAATTCACACTTCCACATTAAAAAACACAAAATATATAGCAAAAGCAATGAAGGAGATAAAAAACCCCACAATGTATCCTTTACTTTAAATGAAACATTATGTAAATCACCTGTTCAAATTTATTTAGCATTAGTTTTGAAGAAAATGTTTTTGTTGAGACATTGTTCCTGTGTTGCTGCTCATGTTGCGCTTTTCAAGTCAGGAGGTGTTGCATGAATTTGAATAGAATGAGAGTTCTATTTATAGATGCGCTGTATAGCACGTATCCACCTGTAATGCTATTTGTGTCTGATTGGCAGCTGTGTCTTGCGGAGCACCAGAGTCTCCTGCTAATGGGTCGTTCCACGGCTTCCAATACACAGTGAGCAGTGAGGTGCTGTACCAATGCGAGGAGGGCTATAAGCCTGACGCGAGCAGCCTGCTCACCGCCGTCTGCCTGGAGGATGGCACCTGGAGCAACGTGGCACATCCTACCCGTTGTTTACGTGAGCAAATCAAGCCCTCTGTTTCTATGCCAACAGCATGTTAAAATCTACCGCCTCATTGAACCGCCGCTTTCTCGCTCAGTTCCCCCTCTGAGAGTAATGTAGGGCAGGTAAATGGCAAAATTAACAATAATGACTTGATTTTTTGTGGTTTGGCAACTCAAACAAGACAAATGGTATGATGTGGCATGTCCCCCCTCTGACCTGAATTACCATTAGCCTACAAAGCCGACTAAAGAGCCCACAGCCAAATAACCATGTATTATGCATTCAGAGGTCACGGCGAGAAAGACGCTCATTACAGCCGATGTTGCTACAGATAATGTCATTTAATATTATGATATTCCTCATCATCGACAGAAAAGAACCCTACCCTGCTCCGTAACACTATGTCAAGGTGTTCTTTCATTCTAGAGCTTTCGGATGATAGTATGACACATCCACGGTGTCTGAGACTAGCTGTATGCTACAGCACTCGAGATGTTTGTAATTATCTAAGCAAGTGCGAGCTGAGGGACGTGAAACCTTTGTCCTGTAGAACATGGGGAGAGAACATTATGTGAGAGATAAAGGCAGGGGGAGGGAAAGATGTTTTGGTCTACTTAAGATCTTGTTTAGTATACCTGACCTAGCTTGCGAGCCTTTTTTTTTTCCTCAAAGTTTGATGCGCCCGCACCAAATTATGCTTCTTTTGAATCCGAGCTATGCACTGTGCTGTTCAATCAAAGGACCATCTGTTCCGTGCTGGCTGCAATATTGTTACTCTGAAACCACTTCAGTTTTCAACCACCTTTATATGCACCTTTATAACACACAAGACAAATCAACCACATTTTCCAATCTTGAATGTGCTAACGAAATGAAACGAAAGAGTGAAAACTCTTTCAAACATTGCTCTCTTTGTTTAAAGTCAGTCCAAGATTCTCAACCAATGGTGTGAGTTTATAGAACAATGGCGAATGTGAAATGTGTAATTTTATCCTCAATGACAAAAATTGAAAATTGACATTTTGCACACAGCTTATGGGATGCTTTTTAAGTCGCATATTCTGGACGCTTGTTGGCTACTCATTCATTTTAAATGTAGAAAATTGACATTTGGTAACACGTTATAATAATTTTCAAATATTATATAATGCTTAACAGATCACATATTCAAAAAGCTACAAACATGAGATAATTCACTTAATTAATGTTTACTAATAAACTTATTAAACATTACCTAATGATGAACAGATCTTTAATTCATGCAAATTAAATTGCTTACACATGTCTTTAAACTTTAGACTCATGTACTTTCTACAAATGATTTTAACAGATGTTATAGAATGGTTAAATGCCGTTGAGAATTATTGTATAATCATTGTATAATTCTGTGTAGATTTGTAGAAAGTACATGAGCGTAAAGTTTAATGACATTTTAACTAAAGATCCGTTAAGCATTATATAATGTTTGTTAATGATTTATTAATGACGTTTTTACTCATTTGTCAAAATCATTTGAATATTTCTAAAAAGTGCCCGAGCATATGAATTAAAAGTTTAATGGTGGTTATAAGCATTTCAATTTACATTAAATGATGATCTGATAATCATTAGGTAATGTTTCATTAGTACATTTGTGAACTCTAACAAGCACATTATCTCATATTTCTAGCTGTGCAAATTTTAACTAATGATCTGTTAAGCATTATATAATTTTTGTCAATGATTTAATTATGAAAGTATTATGTTTTAGTGCAATGTAATTTCAAGAATGTAAAGCAGCCTTTGAGAAGCATGCATTCAGTCAAGTGTGTCCTAACTTTTCAATGGTATTTTATATCTATCCCATAATTCCTGCTGTAAGCTCTAGTTATTCCAGTTCTAGGACCCACAAGGTCATGGTTTTCCATTAATGCATTATTTGCCTTCTGTCCTGCAGCGGTTCAGTGCCCTAACATTGAGAGCATGCTCTCAGAACACATGGTGTGGCGTCTCATCTCGGGCTCGCTGAATGAGTTCGGCGCACGAATAATGCTGAGCTGCTCCCTGGGCTACTATCTGATGGGCAGGAGGACCATCAAATGCTTAGCTAATGCAACATGGGAAGGGCTGGAGGAGAAGTCTACCTGCAAGAGTAAGAATGCTTTTACACAAACACAACGAGACGCACATACTTTTTTGTCCATTTTGTAGCTTGGCTGGATAAATCAGCATCCACTTTCATTGTATGGGAAAAAGGAAGCTCTGTCTGTCATCTTTTGTGTTTCACAGAAGAAAGAAAATCACATGAAAGTGAATAATTGATGATAACATTTCCAATTTGGGCTGAACTATTCCTTTAAGAAGACCCCACAAAAAAGCACAATTGAATTCCAAATTCCGCTCTTGGGATTTCACGAAAAGATCACTGTGTTAATTACCAAACAGCATCCATTGTGAGCTAATGAAACAAATTCATTAGGGTAGCTAATATGTCTGAAATCTGGCCGCTCTCTATACCACGTCTCGTTTATTTCTCCACTGATCCAAGCGTAATCCTCTGGATTTAGCATGCGTGCATAAGACGCCATCCACTGCTTAGTCAGTTCTGATTGTGGCCCGGTTTCCACCGCTGGGACAGGCTGTGTAAACAGTATCACGGTGATTAAGTCTTCGGTGAAAAATGCTTTAACTAATTCGAGGTCAGAGAGCAAATGTAAATATTCTAATCAGAGGCAGCTTAATTTATAATGTGTTTACGCACCATGATGAGTAAGTTGTTAATGAAAGGAACAGATGCAAACAGCTGGGGCTTAAATTGTAATTTGGACTTCTTAAAATGTCACAAAATAAATGCGTGTTGATTGCATGACTAGTGCATGCACATAACAATGCATTAGTGTTGTTTGCTAAGGTAAGCATGGCTATTACTGTTGCTCATTCTTGGGGTTATGGATTTGAACAAATTCTTAACCCCAGGTATGAAATCTTTTGTATTTAATCCTGTATCCTTAGCGCTACAGATGAGAAATAAAACCTCAAATTGTGCTTATTGTTGAATAAAGAGATTTAGTATCCAGATTTATGATTTTCACCTGTAAGAGAAATATACAATCTTATAGGCTTACACTGAAGCAGGAATATGAGCTGTATCTTGATACCAGAGACTGTCACAGACACTTTGAGGTGGCCTCTTTTGTTCAGAAACCCCACAGAACAACTTAGCATGTGGTAAAAAAAAAAACGCATAGCAACACGCTGACAATGGCCAATCACTGCTCACATTTCCTTCAGAAAATGCAAGAATCTAGTGGTAACGTTTCATTTTAAGGACCAATTCTCACTATTAACTAGCATGCATATTACTATCATGTTGGTTGTTAATTAGCACATATTAATGCCTTGTTCTGCATTACCATATTTTAGGTCCCTTAATACTGCCCCACACCTAAACATAACAACTACCTTACAAACTATTAATAAGCAAATAGGCAGCAAATTAGGAGTTCATTGAAGCAAAAGTTGTAGTTAAAGCAGCACTATGTAACTTTTGGCGCTCTAGCAGTTAATAAACAGAACTGCACACATCCCGCGGAAGAACATTCCAGCCGGAGCTACTTCTCTAAGTTTATGTCTATGGCGATTCACACAGGTATATGTTACTCCGGAGCGGTGATGACCCGATCAGGCTACAATAGTCCAAATATAAGTACTTATTATAAGTGTACCGTAGTGATTCGGAATAAGACAAACGTTTGGAAGATGAATTCATTATGTACTCGCTCGTTATATACATTTTTGCAAATTTTGAACACAGAAAAAGTTACATAGTGCTGCTTTAATAGTTAATCATGCATGGGAGCTGGACCTTAAAATAAAGTGTGACCAATCCAGTTTACATAATCACTAAAAATCACTTTGTTTTTGTTTTTTCGTTCCAGTTCACTTACAGTTCTTCTTAATTTCTTAATTTGCAGTTGTTCTTAATTTACTCTAATTGCACTTAATAAGTGTAAATGAAGAGTTTGGTTCCAAAACGCTATACATCCATTTTGATTAATTTGAGTAAAAATGTGTTTTCTTTACCAAGAAAGTGTCAAGATGAAAACCACAATTTTCTGTTTCAAACTTTCACATAGCATATTTAGGTTATAATAAAATTAAAAATTAAAATCCAGATTTTGATTTTCAAAGATTTATTGTAAAAACTGATTATTTTTTTCCCCAAAATTCAATAAATTGTTGAATCAATATAAAAGTTATTTTTCATATTGAAACTGTTGAAAATGCACCACAAAGTTGATCCACATATGACAGCCTCTGAATCTGGTCAATACTAATCTTATTAATAGCTTACGTTCCCTTTCAGTCGGTCACTCTCGACGTCACGTCGGAGGACCGACGAAATTGAGATCTCGCTTAGAGGGACCAATCTACTTCGAGTGTAAACTAAACGAGCCAATGCACATTGGCATGCGATTATTGCATCCAGCTGCTGCTGATCACAGCGTGAGTATAAGTAGGCAGCAGGTGCAGCGCATATTCAGCTTTTCGCTGCGGAGCCGAGCGATCACATCGTTCCGCTCCTGACTACTCTACGGAGAGAAGACTGAACGAGTTCAGCACCCCACCGCAGAAACCACCACAGGTTCATCAATGCCGTCAAAATTATACATTTTTTTAGGGCTGCACCATAAATCACATGCGATTGTCATGCGCATCTTGATCGCGGTTCTGTGATTAGTAGTAAATCTCCATCACGTGCTTTCAGATGGAGCGGCATTTAATACACAGAGCCGTAGATCACTGACAAGCTACGCAATATCGCGTTCATAATCAAAGGCGATTCATCTATGATTATGAAAGTGATATTGCATTGCTTGTCTGTTACTGTCTACCATGAGTGGAATGGTGCGCTGTGATTGGTTGAGCGGATGTATCGCATTCTGCAGAGAAGGGAGACTGACGTCTGTCGCGGTTTGGAAAGATAGGGAGAAAACATGACAGAATAACACGCGGATATCGCATTTTGCGTAAAATAAAAAATTGACTTTTCAATACCGACCAGATACAATACTGATTTTGGCGGGAACTAAATTTTTTTTTAAATGGCGTTTATCGCGTTTTGGAACCAAACAAATATACAAAATATACCATGTAGTCTCTTATCAATCAAACTATTGTAAACAATTAAAATCTATTTAAAGGTTTGGTAACACTTTAGTATAGGGACCCATTCTCACTATTAACTAGTTGCTTAGTAGCATACCTATTATTAACATATTTTACATGACCATATTCTACATCCCTAATCCTACCCAATACCTAAAATTAACAACTACCTTATTAACCAATAATAAGCAGTAAATTAGAAGTTTATTGAGGCAAAAGTCATAGTTAATGGTTTGTTAATATTGAGAATTGGACCTTAAACTAAAGTATGACCAAAAGTGTATTTAAAATGGTAGAAAATGTCCCTAATATATGTATGTACGTTTTAGCCTAAAGTCTTTATTTTTGATAAAACAAAACAAAATAAATGTATGTTCATGCTATTTGACAAATCATATCAGTAGTGTAAATAGTGTAAATACCATTGAAACGTTTATATGATTATCTTTATGAAACTAGAATTGTATGTAGGTATTTAAAGCATGACAATAAACTAAATGTTAAATTTCATTTCCATTTGTTTTATTTATATTTATTTTTCTATACTACATTGTTTAAAAAAAAGAAGTGAGAAAACAGTAGTAATAAACAGTAAGTAACAAAGTGTCCAAACGTTTTACTGGTAGTGTACTTCTATTACCCTTGACATCTCCACCAGTATAAAAACACATCCCACATGCCACCTTCACCCCTCTGTTTCCTGGTAGCTAGTAGTCACTGTGAATAATTATGGCATATTGTGTCCACCATCACCAATGTGACCTTTTTTCAGATAAAATTACCATGTGTGTTCAAGATATTGCATTGGCTATTTCCTCCAGTCATTTCCTGTGGGGAGCTTCCATCCCCTCCTAATGGCAAGAAGATGGGCACCCTGACTACCTATGGCGCCACAGCTATCTTCATGTGTAACACAGGGTACACTTTAGTGGGCTCGCACGTGAGGGAGTGTCAGGCTAACGGTCTCTGGCGGGGAGATGAGACCAAATGTCTGGGTAAGTAGCATCTTTCAGCGGGGCTTCTGTGATCGGACGTTATTATTACTGAACCATTCATGTGTAGAGAAAAGCAAATCTGTTTACTGGATGTTTTCCTACTCTATTATATTATGCTTGTATAGTTCTAGTTATTGTACAGCACTAAGAACAATGTGAGTTCTCTAAGTAGGACATGTTCCTGGAAAAAACATCCTTTGTTAGTCCCAGAACAACATTCCTATCAGACATTCACAGCTCTAGCCCTAAATTGACATAGTCTTGTGTTGCCAATATTAATTTATGGCTTATGTAGTGCTAGATAATACTGGAACTAGGGGAAAATCCTTGAACAAGCATTGAGAGCAGCTAAACTAAGATATGCCACTGTGTGATGATCAACACTGACCCTTAGACACATCACCTGCTGCTTGACCAAACAGCACGGAGGGCCTTTCATCGAAGTGTCAAGCGGTGACTGCCGGAGTGCTCTCTGGACATGCTGTGGTGCTGATGTGTCTGTGCTTCATGATCCATTAAAAGCCTAGTTTGAATTTGTGTTTGTTTAGTAACAAGAATTGATTTTCATCAGAGGTTTGTTGATTCTGACCACTTTTGAAAATGTTTTTCAGCTGGTCATTGTGATTCTCCGGATCCGATTGTTAATGGCCACATCAGTGGTGATGGATCTAGTTATAGGGACACGGTCGTTTATCAGTGCAACCTGGGCTTTCGACTCATAGGGACGTCAGTTCGTATCTGCCAACAAGACCACATATGGTCAGGCCAAGCACCCGTGTGTGTTCGTAAGTGTCTTTTATTTATTTATTTATTTATTTATTTTAATTAATTAATTTATTTATTTTTGTATTATTCTTTTTTTAATGAATACATTTCTGGGTCTGTCTAAGGTCTGTCAGAATATTCAAATGTTTAGTTAGATTAATTACTTACGTGTTTTATATAATAATTAAATCAAGTCACGTCTAATTCATTTATATAGCGCTTTTCACAATATGTATGGTTTCAAAGCAGCTTTACAGAAAATCATGATGTTAATGTTTATAATGTTTATACTGTATGTTAATATCTGGGAGATTATATAATCGCTGGGGTATATTTGTAGCAATGGCCAAAAATACATTGTATGGGTCAAAATTATTGATTTTTCTTTTATGTGTGGTGATACAAGCAATCAAGCAGTTGAATAGTAAAAAGGTTAGTAAAAAAAAAATCAGGTAGTTGAGATATTTCCAACTTTATATAGAAAGCTGTGACATAATTTGTGACAATATCAACAAACACAGCTGAGATTTGTTATATATTGCTTTACATACTGGATATATGCAGTTAAAGTAGGATGTACTAAATATCAACTTTTAATATATCGATGGGCAATAATAAATTTTACATTTACAGTTTTTGACGATATTAGAAGCAGTTGAGATTTGATCTAATATAATGCCTAATTTGTGTATGCTGGGTTGGATAGACGTATAATAGTTGTATAGATGTGTTATTAATTATTAATGTCAGTAATTTAATTTATTATTTTGTTATCTGGTGATCTTGATTAATTTCAAGACATCAGATTATTTGCAGAAGAAAGCATTCATTTAAAATAGTGTCAGTAACAATTCAGTATAGAGACCAATTCTCAGTATTAACTAGTTGCTTATTAGCATGCCTATTATTAGTACTTATAAAGCACATATTGAGGTAAAAGTCATAGTTAATGGTTTGTTAATAGTGAGAATTGAACCTTAAAATAAAGTGTGACCAAAGTATCTTTAGAAGTTTTGTTTTTCTTTCTTTTTAAATAAAAAAGTATCGTTTAATTTACAACCCTACTTTTTAAGTAAAAAATGTTGTAACTTCAACATATGCACAAGCCCTTTCAGCAGCTTCAAAAAGGAAGTGATTGATCATTCTCGCTTTCTCAACAGCCATAACCTGCGGCCATCCTGGAAACCCTGCAAACGGTCGGACAAATGGCAGCGAGTTTAATCTCAACGACGTGGTCAACTTCACCTGCAACACAGGCTATTTGTTGCACAGTGCATCCAGAGCGCAGTGTCGCATGAACGGACAGTGGAGCAACCCTCTACCTGTGTGCAAAGGTATGAACCTTTCAATAAACACAATTTTACTGTATATCAAACGCTTCCAGGCAGCCTGTCCCTTGTTGAGAATCTCAGCGGAGACGCAGCCTTGAACACCGTCTTGTTATGCGAGAAGCTCCTTAGTGAGGCTGTTTAACACCCACAGCTCATGGGCTTAGCATTAACAGAGCGAAACCAGCATCTGTGCTCAGCAGTCTGAGTCAGCCAGTGAATGACAAGAAGCAATGTGCAAATAATGCTCTGTGTGTCATTTCCCATCTCGAAGTGTCGATTTGAAAGTCAAATGGGTCTGCAGCAACCCGTGTGACATTGTGGGATGCTTTCTGACATTAAGTAGGAGTAACTATGCACATCTTGTCACTTTAATGATTAATTAATGTGCGAAGGAAGTTGTTGATGGTGGCCTGGTGAAATTGAATCGTGACGGAAAATGGAGGCAGGTCAACTCTTCTAAGATGGACAATTCCCCACAGGCTGAGCCAGAGCCCAGGGATGAAGCACTCAGCAGGGAGAACGGCTGACGTTCATCTGAGCGGATGCATTGTTCCATGAAACAAGTGCAACATTGAGTTGATGTGAGCTTAGAAACTAACTAGACATTTTTTTTATGGCCAGTTTAATAGTTTTGACTAAACCATGTAGAAAAATGACATTTATTATTGGTATAATTGTAAGCTTATTATTATTTAATTGTTAAAAAAAAAAAGGTAGACATGCACAAATGCACGAAAGATGTGTAGAATTAAATGAAAAGGGTAGAATTCTAATACATAGTTGTTTAAGAGGAAAAACAGTCATATACAATTACACAAACATAGAAACTGTAACGCTTTAGTTTAGGGACCAATTATCATTATTAAATGTTTGCTTATTAGCATGCTATTAACATATTGGCTGTTTATTAGTACTTATTAAGCACATATTCTGCATGACCATATTCTACATCCCTAATACCTAAATTTAACAACTACCTTACTAACTATTAATAAGCAGCAAATTAGGAGTTTATTGAGGCAAAAGTCATAGTTAATGGTTTGTTAATAGCGAGAATTGGACCTTAAAGTAAAGTGTAACCAAAAAAAAAACAAGTAGAATGAACGGGAGGGGATATGTTCGGTTCACTTAGTTTTGTCGTGGCCATGACATATTAACATGATAATATGTCGTGGCCTCGAGATGCTATGTTGAGGGAACGACATCCATTTCTCGTGGCCACGACTTCTTATGTTGAGGGAACGACATATTTTTCTCGTGGCCATGAGTTAAATGCGTAAACAAACCTGCATGGCCATAGCAACCCGGGATTATCAGAGATGGATTAGTAATATGTTATTTTGAATTAAGCAATTATTATATTAAATATTATTGAAATTATTAGATTATTAAATTATTATATTAACCATAGACCTTGGCTACCGGACTGTATTGCACGTGATGTAGACAGGTTCGAATGAAGTTTATTGTGAATAAATGTTACATAAAATAGGATTACAAGAAAACATTTTTATCACGAGTTAATATGACGTTCCCACGAATTAATACCTTGTGTCCACAACATATTACCATGTTACCACAAGTTAATAAGTTGTGGCCACGACAAAAGAACCGAACATGAACACCGTAATATACCAATGAAAAAGCTAGAATTCTAATATACATTTGTTTAAAAGGTAAAAATGTCACACAATTACACTAAAGGTAGAACTGTTAAGAGAAACCTAGAATTGTTATAATGAAAAAAAAAATTGAATTGACATACACGAATAAAAAAAACAAGTAAAATTGTCATATACATTTGTAAAAAAAAAAGACGTGTTGTCACAAACAATTTTAAAAAAGTGTTGTTTTATTCTTATACTGTCTTATTCTTATACTGAGCTGCAATGATAAGATATTTATGTTCAAGATACACTCAGATCAAGTCTCACAAAGAAAAACAACACACCAATAACAGGTGCCAATTATCAACTTTTTAGCTGCTTGTCCACCCACTTTTCTTCTCCCAGGGGGCTTAATTGAGCGCCGAGACATTGACAGCTGCCACCAAGGCAAGGCAGTCTAGTTTGTTTCCCCTGGACATGGCGTCAACTTCTATCTTTCTTTTTTTTTTGTTAAATTGCGACGGGCAGTAACTGAATTTGTAACTTCATGGTCAACACAGCATGCCAAGAACAGCATGTTCCCGGTTTGAGTCAAGAAATGTACTATTACTACATCTGTCAAAATCTATCACTACAGTATAGAAAGAATCAGTTACATGTGTAGAATAATGTTCATTGCGTGAACAGATATGTCAACTTTAGATCAGAATGCATGCATGACATGTTCTAGGTATGCACGGGAAAACAAAAGACTCTTGACTGTTGAGGAAGTGCACAGATAAAAGGCAAAGTAAGTTCTGAAGAAGCACAATTCACCCTCTTACAATCCATATCTTCAAAAAGAAAGTGCGGTTTACGGTGTGGAGTTGATTGAAATTGCTCCAGAGGCTGCACCAACGATCCTACTGTTCAGCCTCTTCCATTGATTTCTTCTGTCTTTCCTCACTCTTGCTTCCCTGTCAGACATTAAGCATCAGGCTGTTTTTATCTTGCAGTGGTAAACTGCTCTGATCCGGGCTTTGTGGAGAACACCATTCGTCACTCTCAACAGCGCTACCCCGAGAGCTTCAACTACAGAAACACCGTGATGTATCACTGCAAGAGGGGCTTCTATCTGCTCGGCTCCTCCGTCCTCACCTGCCAGTCAAATGGCTTCTGGGACAGATCACTTCCTAAGTGCCTTCGTGAGTGATAGCCTCGTATTTCGTCCAATACACACTCGTCCAGAGATTCATAGAGTGCCAAAAACGCCATTGCTGTTGTATACATGTGATGGAATGCTTCAAAATACATTTTCTAAATTAGAATTATGGTTCTTGTTTTCAGTAATATCCAGCATTCTTAAAACAAGCTCAATTCTTTGGAGAAGAAAGATTATACAAGATTATTAAGATCTTTTTTTTTTCAGAGAATATTTTTGCCAATTGAATAACAAATAAACTTGTAAACATATATCCTATAAGTCTTACACAAGTTACTATGATATTTAGATATCTTTGCTTAAAAAAAGAGACAATCTTCTGACTGATTACTATTTCTGTGTATCTTTTTTTAATTATTATTAATATTTTTAACACTTGTGCACTAAAGGGAATAATTTGAGAGATTTAGCATTCTGACAGAATGTTAAAAGTAGCAATAACTGTTGAACTGTCAGCACACTGAAGTCATCTCTTAGAAGTTGCATTTCTAAATTCATCCCCTTAAAAGCTCCACCATTACAGCCATAAAGGGCCACTTTTGTAACAAAGACAAAACTTTTGTAAACAAGACAATTACTGCACTGTCAAAATGTTTTTGAAATAGTTGGTCAGTATACAAATGCAGACGGACAGCTAGCTTTTGGCATTGTCTCGCATCTGTTTCACATGCTGTGAGCATTGTATTTTTAAGTGTATTTATAACTTGACACATTGTATATTAAATGTGTCAATTTAAAAATAGTTCAACATCTCACGACTCTTATTATAATTTTTTTTCCCTAGCTGTTTAAATGCTAGCAGCCTATGTGATTGCCTCTTAGAAAAATGTCTGATTGGCGTCTGGATGTGGCTATGGTTCAAGAAACAGTATAATACCGTACTGCATTTACTCCTTCTGCAGTATATAGTTTGTAAGCAGTGCTCTGTAATTTATCCTACGGTTGCAGTATGGTTGACTTGACCATTAATTTTAAGTTTTCAGTGTGATGGATGAACCAGAACAAATATCAGCTGTGATTTTATCATCTCCTTCTTGACTATTTGATCAGACTGCCAAATTATATTTTTACACAAAAAAGGAATAAAATGCAAATTAACCATATTAATTTACAAGGTTTTGACTTGAAACCGCTTGCTGAATTAAACAGGCCTCATAGGTTAGGTCCTGTGACAACAGTGTAGCTTATGCCTGTTGTTCACACTTATACTGAACAGTTCACAGTATACTGAAAAAAAAAACAGTGTAACCAGACCGTCATAGTCGATTTTGAAAATATGTAGTTTTGCACATCCCTATTAAGGCTTTAACATTAAATATGATTGTAAGTGGGTTGCATCTAAACAGTCACTGTTTCCATGATAGTTGTAAAAAAACACTGGGTGACACTTTATTTCTAGGTGTCCTTGTTATAGTGCATTTAAGGACTGAGTAATATTAATTAACTACATGTACTTACTTTATGATTAGGTTTAGGATAAGGGTTTGGCTTAGGGTTACTTGCATGTAATTATGCATAATTTATTGTTATTATAATAGTAAGTACATGTAACGTGTAACAAGGGCACCTTAAAATAAAGTGTTACTAAACACTGCATAAATAAACAGCATGCATTTTGAGACAATGCAGAAAAATAACACTGAAATTTTAGCAGTTTTGAAGTATCTTATCGGAGATCTTCTGTCCACTTTCTTCTGCCCCCCATAGCAATATCCTGCAGTGATCCCGGCACACCGCCGTTTGCTGTCATGTCGGGCCAGAAGTTCACCACCAGAGCCATGGTCCATTACTCCTGCAGCCAGGGCCGAAGTCTGGTGGGGAATGCCACACGCCAGTGTCTGGAGGATGGCCGGTGGAGCGGCTCGCCACCCTACTGCTCAGGTACACACATCAGCAGGTGGCAGAGCCTCAGGGCGGGAGACTGCAGACCAGCCGGCTGATCTTTAAGCCTCTGTCTGAGCAGCTCAGCTTCGGACAGATTTTAAAGTTTAAACAGTAACTACTGTTGACATCAAGTTCTTGTTTCCTCAAAGTCCAGATGATGTGCACATCACGCAGCTCTCTGACATTACATGTTTATGTGATGCATTTATAAAATAATAATGTAGACCAGACTGCCCTGGACTAGAGCACGGCAGTTTGGTCAGAAGAACACACATTCATTTTGTTCATAGAGAAACTGATTTTACATTTACATTTAGTCATTTAGCAGACTCTTTATCCAAAGCGACTTGCAAATGAGGACAATAGAAGCAATCAAAATCAACAAAAGAGCAGTAATAAGTAAGTGCTGTGACAAGTCTCGGTTAGCCTAATGCAGTACACGTAGCAAGGTGCTTTTGTTTTATATAATAAATAAAAAGAAAACAAGTAGATAAAATAGAAATAGAATAGTGTTAGAGGCCCAAGTGTAGCATAATACTGCAATAAGCCCCAAGAAGCGTTTTATAAAAGCAATAAACCCTGTGAAGCCGTGGTTTACAGTGAATTTATAACAGCTAAGGGGCGTTGTAAAACCCCCTTAGCTGTTATAAATTCACTGTAAACCACGGCTTCACAGGGTTTATTGCCTTTTTAAAATGGTTATTCCATATATGTAGTAAGGTTTCACAAAAAATAAAACAGAGCAAATAAAGTGTAATGATATTAATAAAAACATTATTCTTCTGCCAAACAATGTAGTTCCTCAGAATCGGTTGTGGTTGCAACAAAGTGGTTGCCAAGCAACAGACAAACGTAAACAAAGGTGTGTGTTTGTAAAGTAATTTACAACAGCTTCGAATGTGGCTCAGCCAATCAGAATCAAGAACCGGAACTATCCGTTTTATAAATACAGTTTGACTACAAATTCCATTTTAGTACAAAATCAATCAAAACTACGTATCACATGTACAACAATACAACACGCAAAAATGTTACGCACAGAAACGATACACTCCTCAAATGCGGGATATTCTGGATTTACAAACTTTGACAGCTAAGAATCTGTAGTATAGTATAGTTTAGTTTAGTTTAGAATAGTTTAATTCATTCAGAACATGCTTTACACACTCTGATATTAAATGGCAAGTTATTTATCTTCATCATTATTGATGTTTTTAATGCAAACTAATAAGATAGATGACTGATTAAAATAAAAATTAAAGTAAGAATAAAGCAACAATTACTTTAATTTATAGCAGTCACATACACACAATTCTACCGTGAGTTACAGAAGATTTCCAAATTCCTGTTGAAGAAGAAATCTACCAATCAGAGAAGTCAGAAAAAACAGGAACTGCCCCAAAAAAGCTCAGCAGTGACACCCACACCTATAAATCATTGAAAATATTGTATTCAAGTTAGTGTCCTACAACTTATTTGAGTAACACCTTACAATAAGATCCCATTAATCAAGATGAGTGAATGCATTAGCTAACATGAACGTCTCGGTTACGTATGGTAACCCTCGTTCCCTTTCAGTCCGTCACTCTCGACGTCACGTCGGATGAAAGACGAAATTGGGATCCTACCAAAGGTCCACAGCTACTGCCCCTTCCAGTGTCCTGTGGAAGCCACCTGCGCCCCTACTTTTTGGCGTAGGCCAGGGCTTCTTCACAAGAGGACCAGCTACTGCTTCTATGGCACTACCCAATAAGTAAGACTGGATAACACTGGGAAAACGTACCCGTTCTACTTGGAACAGGGGCGTTACGGAAGCTCCAACCTTCCCGAAGGAGGTTTCGGAAGCAATACACATATGGACATTCCTTAGGTGCATATGGAAGAATGGAGGTGATTGTAAACCTCTTGGAAATGGCAGAAGTCTGCCGGGGAAACACGGGCTCAAGGCTATACCGTGGACTTTACACATATGAGATCCACTTGGGTCTTACATATGGAACCCAGCCTTCTACCGGTTCTCGAGGATTCAGTGAGTGAAGGCCTGGCGCCGGACGCTCCGCCACGTCTGGCTGCCGAGGGGACGGAGGAACTCAACAGGGTCTACTATATGGACTCTCTGGCGTGGTTTTGCAAGCCGACCCGAAGCCGGGGCCCCTCAGTGCTTCTACCCGTTTGAGGTGAGAACACAGGAGGATACCGGCTCCACACGAAGGCTATAAAATCTGGCGAACATGTTAGGAGTCGAACTAACACTTTTAGTTGAGTGAGCCCGCAACCTGAGTGGGTAGGGCACACCCTGTGCCTGATAAGCCAGGGTGATGGCATCCACTATCCAGTGGGCCATCCTCTGCTTAGAGATGGCATTCCCCTT